CTCTTGGGGTACCTAGGTGGCACAGTCATTTGAATGTCCGACTCCTGGTTTTGGCTCAGGTCATGATCTCAGGGTCATGAGACTGAGGCCCGAGACGGGCTCTAGGCTCAGTGCAGAGTTTGCCTGAGATTCTTTCTCTCTCTCCTTCTGCTTCTCCCGTTCATGCTCTCTTTCTCTCTAAAATAAACAAATCTTTTTTTTTTTTAAGATTTTTTAAAATTTATTTGACAGACAGAGATCACAAGCAGGCAGAGAGGCAGGCAGAGAGAGAAGGAGGGGAAGCAGGCTCCCTGATGAGCAGAGAGCCCGATGCAGGGCTCAATCCCAGGACCCTGGGATCATGACCTGAGCTGAAGGCAGCGGCTTAACCCACTGAGCCACCCAGGCGCCCAATTTTTTATAGTTTTTATAAGCCCCTACTCTCATGGAACTTTTACTATATGAGTAATTAAAAAAGAAATATAGGAGAATTATTAAGAAACATGGGTGCTGGAGTCCCATATAAGAAGATTTTTATTTAATTAGTATAGAATAAGCTTTTTTTTTTTTCTTTTTAGTGTTCCCAGGTAATCCCAATGTGTATTTACATACCATCACACCAGGCTTTACTGAAGAGGTGAGATTAGAATTTGTCCTTGACTTACGAAGAAGATTTTAATAGACAGCTTAAGTGGGAAGGGCCTTCCCACTTTCTAGGTGGGGGGCTGCAGTGGCATAAAGCTCCAAATGCTTTTTCTGGTCTTTCCAGGACATTGACCTGTACATAAAAATATTCAAAAATATTCAGTTTGTATAACACAGTTTGTATCCTTTTTTTTCTTAGACGAATCAACCTCTAAATCCTCAGATTTCCCATAAAATGGGAATAACAATTTTACCTACATCATAGTATTGTCGAGACAATTAAATGATCTTAGTATAAATAAGGAACATTGTTTAGAATAATGTTTAGCAAATAAGTGCTCAATGAATGCTAATCATTATTTATTGAACATCATCTATATGCCAGGCAGGAAACCAGAATGAGAATACTTTGCATTTGTATTCTTTTGACTTTACAAAGCTGTTGTATATTTTTAAAGTCTTATTTATTTATTTATTTATTTATTTTTTTAAATTTTTTTTTTTAAAGATTTTATTTATTTATTTGACAGAGAGAGATCACAAGTAGACGGAGAGGCAGGCAGAGAGAGAGAGAGAGAGAGGGAAGCAGGCTCCCTGCTGAGCAGAGAGCCCGATGCGGGACTCGATCCCAGGACCCTGAGATCATGACCTGAGCCGAAGGCAGCGGCCCAACCCACTGAGCCACCCAGGCGCCCCTTTAAAGTCTTTTTTAAAAAAGATTTTATTTATTTATTTGAGAGAGATATAGATTGCGAGAGAGAGCAGGAACAGGGAGGAGAGAGAGAAGCAGGCTCCCCACTGATCAGGGAGCCCATACAGGACTGCATCCCAGGACCCTGAGATCATGACCTGAGCCGAAGATAGACGTTTAACGACTGAGCCACCCTAGCACCCAGGCACCCCAAAGCTGCTGTATATTTTCTATCACACTTCCTCCTTCCAGTGACCTTTGCAATAGGTAGAGAAAATTTAATAGCACCTACATGACAGGAGAAAGCTGTGAAGTGACTTTTTAAAAGAGTGCAATAGTACGTGAACTCCAGTGTTTCACACTCCCAAAGTGTGCTCTTTCCTTCAATAAAATAAGGAAGCAAACAAACAAAAACCAAAAACAAAAGCAAAAAACTGTTGAAGAACTGAGGCATTTGTTCAGCTAATTTGTACACATACTCCACTTTACCTAGACAGAGGTCCATAAGAATCTCAACAATCTTCCTTCTGTCATTCCCAGGTTATCCATAAGGGGGACATTTAATTGGCGGATAATCTGTACTCTGCTTGGAATTACATTTCTTTTCTTTTCTTTCTTTCTTTTTTAGAGATTTATTTATTTGAGAGAGAGCAGAAAGAAAGGAAGACAGCACAAGCTGGGAGGAGGGGCACAGGGAGAGGGAAAAGCAGACTCCCTGCTGAACAGGGAGCCCAATGTGGGGCTGGATCCCAGGACCCTGGAATCATGACCTGAGCCTAAGGCAGGTAGATGCTTAACTGACTGAGCTGTCCAGGCACCCCAGGAGCTACATTTCTTATTCAGCTATATTTCTAGTCAAGGATTGTCAGATAACTCCGTTTACTGGAGAGAACCCTGCCTTTAGGAGTTCTTTCATTCTCTTAAGGAACATCCAGAAAATGGAAAACCTAAAACTAGGCAAGTTGGAACAAGAAAGTTCTCTTCTTCAACATACACATACAAAATGGAAAAGTTAATATAGCAATTAACATGTTCTTTCATGTAACACATACTTGGTGACCTCTTATATGTATTATATTCTTGGTCTGGACAATACAAGAGTAGGAAAAATATAATTGGAAAACATGAGTAATCATTAATAGAGACATAAAGTCTAAAACCTCCCAAGGTTTCCTCTACTGGTTTCTACAGGTGAGAACTACCGTGAAGGATACAGCTCCTAGGTTACATGACGTGGCCGTTACTCTGTAACTGGTGGCAAATTTTCCACATAACTGAAAACAGATGTGTAGAAAACCTATTATTATCATTACTCCTACTGCTGCTACTACAACTTTAGATTTGCTATCCTCCATTTGAGTTATGAGCTATTCTAAAGAAAAAAGTATAAACTAAGATATTATGGCAGGGAACAAGATCTTTGTGCATTTTAACAGTATTTGTTAGAAATTATTTTTAGCCCCAAACAACAGAAAACCCTATTTGGGTTGGTTTATACAGAGGCTTATTTCACAAAATAAGAAATATAAGGCAAGGAGCCAAGGCTGAATATGACTCGACAATACTACCAGAGATCCAAGGTCTTTAATTCTGCCAATATCTTTAGAGTATATGCCTTCATCCATTTGCTTGTCATCTTATGGTCCAATGATGGGTGCCATGTATTCAAACTTTTCTGGCAAGAAGTGGAATGAAGCAAAAAGCCAAAGTACACACTACCTGAGCCTATTTTTTAAAGCGTTTCTATAAGTCCCACCCAGCAGCTTCCATGAATGGGACTTGAATAGGTTCCTCTTGGACTAGCACTGTCCAGCTGAAATATAATGCAAGCCACAAATGGGAGCTACATATAAAATTTTACATTTTCTAGTAGCCATGTTTTAAAAAAGTCAAAAAGAGAGGAAATTAATTTCAATAACATATTTAACCAAAAATACCCCCCAATTTTTCTGATGTGTGACTAATACTTTAAAGATCAAATCAAGATACACATTTTACATTCTTTTTTTGTATTGTTTTCATAGTCAGTCTGTATCTCAGTTTAGACAAGCGGCTTTTCAAGTGCCCGATAGCCATATGTTACTGTCTTGGGTAGGAAGCCTCAGGCCAATCACCAAAGTGTCTCAGGAGGATATATGAATTGGGGTGGGCCATCCAAATAGCGATGTTTGCCTTCTTGACAGTAGCAAATACTTCATTTAAGGAATGAAATTACCTGAATTTAACCAAAATCAGTCCCATCCATGATAGCTCTCTACAACACTTCAGACCAGGGTTATTCGAATGTAGGACAAACTGGCTTTCCAAGACAAAACAATTTTACCACTCCTAATGAAGTATTTACGATGCTTGTACTTTTTGAAATTTCCCTCATTCAGTTTGATGTTCTTGACAATTTCTGGCGAGCAGGGTTATTTGAGGTGATGCTTATATACAGTCCTTTTTACTGTGGTGCTGACTATAGCAGCCATACCTATCATTTATCATCTAACTACAGTGTTCCCAAACATGCCCGCCCTTTGATGTTTTCTCAGTGGCCTGGTTGCTCCAGATTTTATGTAATTGCCAGTGTTTAGGAAGGGACAATGCACTGTTCTCTACTTCCACTCAATTTTCTCTATTTTACGTTTCCATCACTTTCAGTTTTCTTATTGCATCTTCCTTGACTCTTTTTGCATCTTTTACATCTTCACCTTAACATTATCATTCCCAGGGGCGCCTGGCTGACTCAGTCCACGGCGCATGCAACTCAGGATCTAGGGGTTGTGAGTTTGAGCCCCACTTTGGATGTAGAGATTACTTAAAAATAAAATTTAAAAAAATAATAAAATTATCATTATCATACTTTAAAAGTGCACAAACTCATTTATAGCAAAGAACTTTTGGTGATAAGATTTTTCTGAAACAAGAGTGAAGAAAAATCCTCCAATGTCATAACCGTGAGTGGGTCAAGGGGCACTAAGGTACAGTCCCCGCTGCTTTCAAGATGACAATTTAGTGTTTCAGTGCTTTTCTGAGAGAGGACATTGAACATCTATTTATGGTGACGGTGATGATAGAGATTAGTAAATCCCCGGCGGGCCGGTAACTGTGCCAGCAGGCGTGGAGAGTGGCAAAGAATTCTGCAGAAGATGGAGGCCTAGGCACACAAACAAAAATAGCTCAGAAATAGAAAGCGTTCCTTAAGTGCAGAGGCCTCACATTTCCCGGTCCCACCTATTCCGCTTCTCCAGCCACCTGACCTGTATCCAGCTCTTAATCTCTCCTTCATCTTCTGCCTGCCTCCGCTCGCTGTCCCTGATGGACCTAAACTCCCAGCCTTCCTCTCGTCCCCTGGGGCTGGTAGACTGGTACCCGCGAATTTCCCGGGCCCGGCCGCGCCTGCGCAGAGCCTCTTCTCGCGCGAACGTGTAACCATCCCCCCTCGAGTACCCCGACACCTCGGGGGATGCGGGGTCCGTCGTAAACTAGCCTCCGCTCCTTTCGTGGAACAACGGGCGTCACCTGGGTCTGCTGCGGACTCCTTCAACGCTACAGGCCCCCCCTCGCATTCCACGAGATCGCGTCCCCACCGGCGCGCGCAGGCCTCTAAACAGTAACCTCAAAGAACCAGATCCAGGAAGGTCCTTGGGGGGGAAGGAACGCGGGCTCGCCGGCCGCGAAGGGGCGGCTGGAGCCCCGCCCCCCGGGAACGACTTTCTGCCTCCGCATTGGTCCGCGCGCCCGTCAGTCTTCCCCGGGCCGCACCGGCCCGCCTCCTTGGCTCACGACGCCGCCTGCCTGGCTACCTCGCCGGCTGTCTGCCGCTTCTGCCTGTAGGGACCTGAGCTAGCGCCAGCTCCGCGAAGCTCAGGGAAGAGGGGGCGGACTCGGCCGCCGCTGAGCATCGCCTGTGTGGGCGGCAGGGCCGCGGCCTCTCCGCCGGCAGCACCACCTGTCGCGGGCCGAGACTTCGGGTAAGGCTCCGCGCAGCACGCGGTTGCTGGCGGCCTGGCGTGGCGGGGCCGGGGCGGGAGCTCCAGGAGCGCAGCGGGGGCCGCCTCCTCCCGCCCGGCCCGCCCACCCGATTGCGGACCCGCCGCCGGCTTTCGCGCGGGCGGCCAGCAAGGACCCGCTTGGCGGATGGGTGGGGCGAGGCGAAGGGAAGCGGTTCCCCGAGCCCGGGGGAGGGCGGGGGAGAGGTCAGGTCGCGGCGGTCCCCAATACGAGCGCCCGCGGCTTTTTCCCGGGCACGGTTTCGGGGCGCGACTTTCCCGTTTCTCGACCGGCTGGTCCCAGGGCGGCGCCCTTGTTGCCCGGGATGAGGTCCTGTGGCTTCCAAACCGGGAGCGTCGCTCTCTCCTGCGACCTTTAAAGACCGGTTTTGTGGCTTGATAACCTTTTTATCAAATCCCCTTCTGCAGGGATGAATTAATGACAGGAATTAGGCTGTGTGTGTGTGTGTGCGCGCGCGCGCGTTTGTTCGTTTCTCTCTTTAAAGGAAGTTTGCTACAAGCTAGAAAGTTCTACGTTTGGACAGTTCTGCCCATTCGTGTGAAATGGCATAAATAGACCAGAACTGGCAGGTGTTTCTTTGACACTGGTGATGACCACCTCTGCTTGTGTGGTGGTGTTACATTTGCGGTCCAGGAATTGACTTCTTTCGTGGTTACAAAAACAATTTTAGAAAACATGTTGCCTTTTGATGAGAAGCATAATCAAAATGATACATCTTAGCAGTAGTGCTTCCTTACTAATGCATTATCTCCCTATCTGATTTATTTTCCTAATGCTTGTGGCAGCAGCCTCTAAGCAGAATAGGTAATAGCATTGTTGTTTCTTTTAGTGTTGCAATTGCTAACAATAGAAGCACGTTTTAATTGTCAGTTCTGGGCCTGACATTGTTCTGTACATGAATCATCTCAAAATAACTCTTTGAGGTTGGTACTGTTATTTCTACTTAACAAATGAAGAAACTAAGGCTTAAGAAGGTTAAGTAACTTGCGCAAGATCACAGATTTTATAGGTGGCCAAGTCTGGGTTTGAACTCAGGCAATTTAACAAAACAGCTCCAGCTCAGTCGCTCCTTAAGCATTGTTCATGTTGTTCAAGTAATTGCAATGTTGTACTCGTTAATTTTACTCTTAATATTTACTCATGAATTTATTCTTTAGTTTCCAGGCATCCTGGAAGTTAGAGAAGAAACATTTGCTTGCACTTTCCTCTCCTCACCTTCCCCGTGTGTGTATTTCTATGTGTATGTATAATCTATTGTGTAACTACTAAAACTAAGTTACATGATACTATGTTACATGGTTTGCAGAAATACAGAAAAAACAGCTTAACTCTTGTCTTCTAATGTTGGACCTTTAAAATAGCTTTGAACTTTGATTTGCAATCTGTGTTTGGTTCTCTTATGGTAGTTATAAAGACTTAATTAAAAGTTAAGCATAGAGCCCAGATATGCTGATAGAACTTTTATCATATATTAAGGAAATGTTGGGCTATGCTTTTGTAGAAGTTCTTCATTCTCTTGAGAATTAAATATACTCTTGCTCAGTACTTACTTCTGAGAAAGAACTACTGACAGGTTTGTCTTACAGGGTGTTTTTGTCTTTTAAAATACACTTGTTATGGAAATACGTCAAAAATTCATAAAAGAAAAACTAATTTACCATTTAAGAATTTCTTTTGCAAATTAACTCCTATAAAGCTGCTCATATATAACTTGTATCAAGTTTCCTATAAAAATAAGCTATTCTTAACTATATTAAATTTTATATTAAGTTAAACTAAAATAAATTCTAATTTATGTTGGTGAATTTTCGACAAACTTAGTCATATTTCATTTATTTATTTATTTTTTAAGTAGGATCCACACCCAACTTGGGGCTTGAATTCACGACCCTAAGATTGAAACCTGAGCTAAAATCAAGACAGATACTTAACCGACAAAGCCACTCAAGCACCCCAAATTTAGTCATATTTTAAAACATAAATAATAATTGAAACCTATAGTTGTCTACTGAGGATCAATTTTAGAAGGAGGACAAAATTCATACTATCAAAATCATTCTACATTTAATTTCCTAAAAATCTATTTTATAAAAAGTTAACTTTTATTTTAAAGTCATCATTTTGGTTATATGGCTCTATATTATATTTCCTTTGATCAATGTGTACAAATTGCAAAAGTAATGAAAAATACTATATTGATTCTGTAGATGTTGTTCAGAATGACATTTGATGTTGCCTGGCTCTGTATACCATCCAAATTCTAATCACTGACCTAGAGATTTAATTCGAAATAGTTTAAATAAGTGCTAACCGTGAGTATCCTTATAGCCTCAAGGATTTCACAGTAGAAGATATTGATGCAGAAACTAACAGGCATTCAGAACACATCTTCTGACCACCATAGTCTGTCCCTACTACTAATAGTGCTTAAAGAACTAACATTTATAGAGCACTTAGAGGGCACTGTGATAAGCATCTTACATGGATTATCTAATTAAAATCTTAAAATGGCGCTGTTTAGTAGGTCCTGTTATTATCCCCATTTGAGTGATGAGAAAACTGCAACAGACTTATTCAAAATCAGAGTAAGAATTGGCCAAACCAGGATTTAAACCCAATAGTTTGATTCCAGAGCTTGCCTTTGACTACTCTGCTAAACTGCCTGGATATGGATTTTATTGAATAAACTTTCACGTCAAGTAGTCAGGCTCTTTATGATGATGATAAAGCTCTTAATTGCTTGATACTTTGTAAATATCATCATTACTACACACAGCTCTGCAAACCAGAGTTCCCTCTCCCTTGGTTCATTGATGAGAGAAATGAGACTTCTAAGGCAGTCCTGAGACTTTTGGAGTTGATGGGCAAGTGTGTATAGGGGGACAATTGGGACCAGACATACACTGCCAACTTTTAATTCTATTAAGGTTAAGGACTCTTTTAAGAACTACTGCAATCCACCATCACCATCTTTTCATAAACGAAAGACGTTTTTATCACCAAACAGATAAGGAGATCATAATTAGAATAGGAAAACAAAGAGAATAAATTTTGTTTTATGAAGAACTATATTGTATTGTTCAGTTTTTCTCAATTGGCCACTCAGCAGTGAGAAATGTGTCCCAGGCTAACACCAATTCAGAAGCCGTTGGGAATGTCTGGGTGACACAACCGCATCCAAAGTGGTGATGGGCTGAGTCCAGATTCCGATCCCAGTCGGACTGCAGAGCTTGTGCTCATTGCACTCAGTCACGACCTCTAATTTCTGTCTCCCTTGCAGTGACCTCCTTTAACCCCAAGTAGGGGGCCAGGGAGAGTTGTCTCCAGCAGCCAGTGGCCTAGCAATTCCTGTCCTGGTCCAGCTTGTAAACACCGGAGAGTAAGTTCCAGGGCAAGGCCATGTGAATGACACACCGGGGGTAGAAACCAGAGGCAGATCTCAGTATTCCAGAAGCTGTCAAGGAAGCAAGTGGCTTGATTTTACATGTCAATTAAAAATTAGAAACGCTGCCTTTTGGTTCCTGTTTTTACTTCACTCATTCTCAGAGTTCTCCTTCCAACCCACCTGCATAACAGCGTTTTATCTTGTTGCCTCTCATTGTTCTTATTACTGGTATTTAAGCCTACCTGTCTATCTCTTATTCCTTGGTTTTAGTTTTGGCAGATTTTTTTTTCCTTAATTCTTTTTTTAACTTATGACCACTGTTTTCAAGACACTATTAAAATTACCTTTACATTTTATTTTATTCTCTATCATTCACTAACAAAGTAATTTTAGTGATTAAACATTCTTAAATTATAATACTTTTTTGCATATAGTCTCATTTGATCATCATAATTATCTATAAGGTAGATTTGACAAGTGATGTTATCCTTATTATACAGACTAAATTCAGTATTAGGTAGAAGCAAAACTTTAACCAGGAACTGAAAATAGATTTCATGTATTAGAATGCTGCTCTTAAGTTAAATACTGAAAGGAAAAATTTTAATCTTCCTTACTCGCAGTGTCAATTCTTCTGGCCACTAAATGTGGGACTTCTCTCCCCCCCCCCCCCCCCCCCACTCCCCCGCAATTCTCCAATTCTCAGCAGATGCTGATTGGGTTTGCTTTAATGTAACTTAATTCTGACACTGTCCATATGGAGATAGCTTCAGATTCCATAGGTTAAGGATTAGGTCCCAAAAGACAGCCCCTACTTGAGATGCCAATTGCAAGTCCCAGATTGTGACCCATACTTCTGACCAACTCTCTATAAATTGAGGCTTCACACAACCCCCTCTGTTTCGATGATTTGCTATAATGGCACACAGACTTACTTACATTTGCTGGTTTATTATAAAATGATACAACTCAGGAACAGATGGAAGGGATACATAGAACTATGTATTGATGGGGGTGGGGGTGGGGGTGGAGAGGCATAGAGCTTACTTGTCCTACCTGAGTGTGCCATCCCCCAGCACCTAGATGTGTTCACCAACATGAAAGCTCAACAGATCTCCTTGTTAAAAAGGGCCCCTGCCCACTTCCCTTTCTGGAGGTTCTGGAGGGGGGCAGTAAATTTCTACTCTCTAATCACTTGGTGTTTCTGGTGTTTCTTCAGCTCTATCTGAGGCTTTGCAGTGGTCCACCCTAGGTCACCTCATAAGCATAAACTCAAATGTGATCAAAAGTGTCTTATGAGTAACAAAAAATACTCCTCTATCATTCAGGAAATTCCAAAGATTTTTAGGAGCTCTGTTCCAGAAACTGGGGACAAAACCCAAATATATTTCTTTTTTTAAAAAAGATTTTATTTATTCATTCATGGAGGGGGTGCAGAGGGAGAGTGAGAGGCAGTGAATCTGAAGCAGACTCCGCCCTGGAGCCTGTCTTGGGGCCCGACCTCAGGATCATGAGATCATGACCTGAGCAGAAATCAAGAGTCAGACATTTAACTGACTGAGCCCCCCAGATATATTTCTTATCATACCACAAGTACTAATGACAAAATAATTTTTTTTCAGATTGCCTTTGATTTAAAGTAAAAAGTATTCTATACTATATCGTAGATTTGCCTACCTCACCAATATACTGGAATACTAATCCAGTTTTTTGGTACCAAAGTTTTAATTTTGACAAATAATGCTGTCTTTCCTGGAAGAACCACACAAACACATAATCAGTGCTACCATTTCAGTCTTTGAAATTTATTTTGAAATGATTTGAAAGGCTTTGGTTGCATATATCATACTTCTTGGCCCCTTAATACTTCACTGTGTTTTCAGGACAAGTATATCTCTTCCATATGGTTATCAAATACAGAAAATTTAATATTTTATAGTACTTTTATTTAAGCTACAGTATATCTTCTAGTTTTGCCAGTTGTCCCAATAAGTGTCCTTGATAGCATTTTTTTTTTTTTTTTGATTCAGGCTTTGCATTTAGTTGTCATATGTTCAGTCTTCTTTATTTTTTTTTTTATTTTTTTTAAAGATTTTATTGATTTATTTGACACACAGAGAGAGAGATCACAAGTAGGCAGAGAGGCAGGCAGAGAGAGAAAGGGGGAAGAAGGCTCCCCACCGAGCAGAGAGCCTGATATGGGGCTCGATCCCAGGACCCTGAGATCATAACCTGAGCCGAAGGCAGAGGCTTAACCCACTAAGCCACCCAGGCACCCCCTGTTCAGTCTTATTTAAATTGCAGTAGTTCCTTAGTGTCTGTCTTTCACTAACATTTTAAAGTGACCCAATTATTTTGCTGTATATCTCTCATAATTCTTTTTTATTATTGCTGAAGTATATTTGGCATATGACATTGTATAAATTTAAGGCATATAACATTAATTAGATATATTTATATATTATAATATGTTTGCCATTGTAGTGATAATTGTCACCTCTCATGTTATATAATTATCTTTTTTTTTTTTTTTAGTGGTTGGAACAATTAAGACCTAGTCTCTTAAAAAGTTTGATGATTATAATACAATGTGAATATCTATATATTATATATAATATATTATTATTTATTATATATTATATATAATAACATATATATAATATATAATAATATATTATATATTATATATAATAACATATATTATATATATAAATATTATATTATATATAAAAATATAATATCTATATTCACTATACTACGCATTAGATCTTTAGGAGTTATTATTTCTTAGGACTCACTGCAAGTTTGTATCTTTAAACATCTGTCCTGTCCTCCCACCCCCAGTCCACATCTTATGATTCTTGATGTCCTTGTAATCATATAAATTTTTTGTTTTTGTGGACACATTTATGCACCACATTTATAGGAAATATCCAGATTAGGTAAATCCATAACGACAGAAAACAGGTTGCTGGTTGCAGGCACTGGAGGAGGGAAAGAACTGCTTAAATGGGTAGTGTTTCCTTCTGGGATGGTGAAGATGTTTTGGAACTAGATAGAGGTGGGTTGCACAACATTATGGATTTTCTAATCCCTCTCAATTGTTCACTTTGAAATGGCAAGTTTTGTTGTGTGAATTCACTTCCATAAAAATTAACTTAAAAAATAATCTCACTGTAATGGTTTGCTGCACTCCATATACAAACCTTGATTTCTAAGCAAATAAAAATTCCAGTAAAAAACTTATTGCGGGGTAATTGCAGTGATTTGTAATGATTAAGATAAATGGGCTTTGCAAGTTCATTTTGGGTGGGTGAATTGATATGCAGAAGAATCTATTGTATCCTTATTTTAATTATTTAATGTACAATATATTATGTGGAGTTTTCCATTTTGAAAAATTTCCATGTGTCTGTGATGGTCGTGAAAAGGCAAAAACATGTTTTCTAGCCAATTTGTGTATTTTTTATATTAAGTAACAGGTTTTTTGAAAAGAAAAAATATTTAGTATATTACCTTTAAACACTGACTATATTAATACATTAAAATTATACAGCTAGATTAAGAGTTTGAATGGCTTCTCTTCCTCTGGATGTTTATGCTCCAGGATTTCCTGGTAACTTACTTTTCCACCTTCAACCTAAACTCCCATACACATTAACATGAACCATACCGTATGTCTTTGTTTACTAGATGTTACCTTGTTTCTTAATTGCTGGATTTCTTTCTTTCTCTCACAATCAGGAGATACATACCTTGCCACACTTGTGGCTTAGAAAAAGAATAAGTGTTTAGCACACTGTAGTATACAGTACATACAAAATAACAATAATGACTAACCAGGGACTTAGAGTATTATCAGGAAAAGTCAGTCATTGTTTTCACCCAGTTACTTTTTTACAATGGTTACAACCTGTAGAAACATAAATGTACTTTGATAAAGCTTTTTCAAGTGTGGAAAATTAAGCTTTCTGTATCTGCTTTTGAAAACTGATACCTAATGTGCATGCATTCTGTAATATGTTTCTCATCCGTTATCTGCTGCCTTTTCCCCAGGTGAAAGGAAAGATGTTGTCCCGGTTAAGAATAGTTGCTACTCCCTATACTCTAGCATGTCGTCATATGCACATAAAAGAAAAAGGCAAGACACTCATGTTGAACCCAAGAACAAACAAGGTTAGTAACATTAATACTGACATAACATTTTCTCTCTTCCTGGTAAAGATTTGATATATTTTAGGCTGATAAAGTATGAACTTTTTAAATTTTGTAGCTTTATACTAAAATTATTCAGAGGTATTTGCTTTATCTGTATGACTTTCCACTTTTCTCCACATGGCAAGAATCACAGCTACTTGATGGGTCTGTTTCACCACTCAAATTCTACTACCAGAAAAAGATTGACTTTGTTTCCTGGTTTCAGCTCAAAAATATCCCTAGAATAGCAGTCTGCCCAGAACTTTCAGGCAGTGGGGGACACTTAGATTTACCCAGCTCAAATCCAACTGAGCCCTTGGAAGATGGGGTTAAAATTGTCAAATGAACTATTGTCTAATGTCTGCACCTCCACCCAGCTTCTTGGACACAGATCATTGCACACAAGTGCTTTTGCCCATTAATCTCACAGTACTGCTTCATGGTGGAGAGACTTCCAGCCCCCTCTTTATGGTCTTGGGGTAGAGGTGATGGGCGTTATTGATACCTAGTCTTGCCTTTACTCCATGGCCAAGCTGTGTTCAGTGGGCAAGTCCCTCTCTATTTTCTAGTGGAGATAGTAATTAGTAAGTACATGTATTTCTAGAAAGAGATTTCTCACCAAAAGCTTGTAAGAGGATACACTGAGTTCATTGTAATGGGTGAAATTTACCTCTTGGGAATAATGCATACAGGTTAAGGTATGACATATTTTAAAACAACGGTCATCAGAAATTTGCCAATGCTGTTTATTTCCCATGGTGGGGGTTGAGGATAACTAATTGTATAGTATGATATGTTTTGAAGGATTTCAGGCCTACAAAGGGAAATTGACCAGGGACCACCCAGACTGCCTTATTTTTGCATTTTTGGTACCTTAGACAGAATGAGAATTCAGCAGGTAGTAGTGAATTGAATGAAGCTTAATGAGGGATATTCTAATGCTCTCTTGTTTTTGCCTCACTTCCCCAAATCTTGCTTGCTCTTCAAGATGCAACTCATTCAAAGTCCAGTTCTCCTGTAGCAAATTTTCCTACACCATAGACTGGAATAATGGCTCCCTTCTCTGAAGCCCTATAGCAGTTTTTGTCTTCCTGTTCCTGTATCAAGTAATCAACATCTTGCTGCGTGCTTCCTTTCATGCCTTAAGTTGTCATTGAAGTAATTGTTGAATTTATATTTCATGAATTTATATTTTTTCATGAACTTTCATGAAATTTATATTTCATGAATTTATATTTCTTACGTATATTTCGGGACCATTCAAAATTTTATGTTTTTTACAATGCCATGGGTATAGTAAATATTTGCTAATTATGTTGGTCTTTTTTTTTTATCCTTAAACTACTTAAAGCATACTATGAGGGAATTGTGAGTAATTTATAAGGTAGTTTAAGTAGCAAATTAATTTTAAGGAGGAGGGTAGTCTAAAATGCATCACAGTACTTCTGCAAAGATAGTAACTAATGCTCTGGGCCTCTGAGATCTTGACGGTTGGATAGCATCTGTAAGGTTACCTCACTGAAGGATAATTTTTGGAAACCCCTTAAACATCAGGAAGAGTTTTTTGTTGTGCATGTTTAAGAAGGAACATAAACTAGGGATTCCTGATTTGAGGGTCATGAAATCCTTGGGGACTTGAAAGACATCAGATTTGTGCTTCAAACATCGTAGGCTAAATGTTTTAAGAGTATGTTGCTGCTATGATTAATAAAATAGTAATTTTAGACAGTATTGAATTCTTTTGAGATTGTGATTTTTTAAAAAAGATTTTATTTATTTCACAGAGAGAGAGAGATCACAAGTAGGCAGAGAGGCAGGCAGAGAGAGAAAGGGGGAAGCAGGCTCCCCACTGCGCAGAGAGCCCGATGTGGGGCTTGATCCCAGGACTCCGAGATCATGACCTGAGCCGAAGGCAGAGGCTTAACCCACTGAGCCATCCAGGTGCCCCTGTCTGTGATCTTTTAAGATGTCTATAATCACTGTCTACTAAAGGCAGAGCTGTTACTATGTCTTTAAGGCTTTTTCAGTGTGGTAAATAGTGTACAAGTCAGTGACATTAAGAACATTCACTGTGGTGCCTCCATCACCTGAAATGGAAACCCAGAAGCCATTCTGCAGTCACAGCCCCCATCCCCCACCACCTTCTCAGCCCCTGGCAACCACAAATCTGTTTTCTCTTCCTATAGATTTACCAATTCTAGTATGAATATGAAATTCTTTATGACATTTTTAAAAAGTCCTTATATGTTAAAGGAGTGGACATCATTGTGCCAGGTTATATGCAGGTGTTCTGGTGTGCATTTGAATTCACTAGCCATGAAACTTTGGGTCTTTATTTAACCTTTCCAGATCTCAGTTTTCTCACTTAAATCATGTAGGTGATACATTTTGAAATGTTCAAAAGGCTGTGTGTGTGGAAGGTTGGCTTTCCCCTTCTCTCCGTATGCTCATTTGGTAACCTTTTTAGATAACTTTTTGAACCTCATCTCTGCATCCTGTAGGAATGTATGCACTTTCCAGTTTGTACCTGGAGCTCTGGTTTAATAGTTCTTGGTTCTTTGAGGGTTTTTGTTTTTATTTTAACTCCCCTGGCCACACTTCTAATAAACTAATTCAAAATTTTCTTTTTTATTTGCATAAGTAACAATTACATTACAACTAATAAAAGAAAGAAAGATCACATTCCTACCGTCCCAGTAGATCATCTGTTTTTATTTTGCCAAAGCCCCTTAAAAGTATATTTACTTTGAAGATCCTAGGATACAATTTTACATGTCATTTTCCTACTGGGAATAGTATTTTACAAATAATCTCTATGATGTCTCATTAGCCTTCTATATATGGCTGCATCACAGTCCAGTAGGTAGATCTAGACTCACAGAGACTGAAGAGAGACCCAGCTTGACCCTTACAGGCTGTGTGATCTTCAGTGTAGATACAACTTCCCAGATCCCAGTTTCTTCATCTGAACTGTTGTGGAGAAAAAGGAATATTGTAAAACTACTTTAGGCACTGTAAATTCTATGTAAGTGTGAGTTACTCCCTTCAGGGGATGTTTTATAATTTGGTTAGTCATGATGCTATTGTCGAATATTGTTTTCAGTCTTGACATTATGCATCGTTAGTTACTAGTTAGCAGTTTTGTAAGTAGGTATTTGGTGACTTCTTAATTCCTGATGGTTTATTCTAACTACACTTCAAGGGAAGCAAATTTTTTCTTTCTTCCCAGTATGTTTACCTGTATATTCAAATCTAGTTAATGGATTTTTATCAGTATTGGCTTATGTGAAGAAATTGAGTGTGTCTAGAGGAAAATAGCTCAGGGGATCTTTCAGGATCAGCCAAAGAAGACACACTTCCACGCTGCGAAATGGGAGGGCATTGCTGTGGCATAGATGAGAAAAGGGCAGACATGGAGAGACAGGTGACCTGGGGAGATGGAGGAGGAGGAAAAATGGACCGTTAAAGAACTGATCGAGGCGTTCATTTGAAGCTAATGTCATCTTTGTGGGCGTGCTTCACTTGTTAATACCAGGCTGGCAAATTTAAGCATTTGATCAATTACTAACTTAAATACTTACTATATAAAAGTGTTTTTTAAATCGTTTTAATTTCTACCCTGCATTATAAATAAAATGCTTTCTTTTAAAATTTTTTTTTTTTTTTTAAAGATTTTATTTATTTATTTGACAGAGAGAGATCACAAGCAGGCAGAGAGGCAGGTAGAGAGAGAGGAGGAAGCAGGCTCCCCGCTGAGCAGAGAGCCCGATGCGGGGCTCGATCCCAGGACCCTGAGATCATGACCCGAGCCGAAGGCAGCGGCTTAACCCACTGAGCCACCCAGGCGCCCCTTTTTTTTTTTTTTTTTTTTTTTTTAAGTAGGCTCCTCACCCAACGTGGGGCTTGAACTCATGACTCTGAGATCAAGACCCAAGCTGAGATCAAGAGTTGGACACTTTGGGCTCCTGAGAGGCTCAGTTTGTTAAGCATCTGACTCTTGATTTCTGCTCAGGTCATGATCTCAGGGTCATGCGGTGGAACCGCATGTTGGGTTCTGTACTCAGCTTGGAGTCTGCTTGAGATTCTCTCTCTCCTGTCCCTCCCACTGCTCATTCACTCTCTCAATAAAGAAATAAATAAAATCTAAAGAGTTGCACACCCAGCTGACTGAGCTACCCAGGCACCCCAAATATACATTTTTGAGTGTCCCTTCAACCTAACTTTTGAGTGTCCCTTGAACCTCAGTAGGAGATAGGCAGTGACACCTTGTGTAGCCAAGTCATTTACCTTTGCCGGTAGGGTAGGTAAGGCACCTTTAAGTGAAATAATTAGTTCATTTAAATCTAAATTTTAGGGGTACCTGGCTGGCTTACCATGTGACTCTTGATCTCAGGGTCATGAGTTCATGCCCTGCATTGGGTGCTGAGCTTACTTAAATAAATGGGTAATTTAATTTAAAAAAATAAATAAGGTTTAGCTTTTCCACTTTAGTCTTGTACTAGAGTGGGAAAAGGAAGTAAGGGTGAAAGTTTGGGTTTTACTTCTTTTATATATCCCAGCCTTAGGTGAAATCTTAGAAGGAGAAACACGAGTTGCAAAGATTTAGAGATTTCAGTCTTCTCCCTTTCTCCTTTTTCCAGTCTAGCTAAAGGTTTGTCAGTTTTGTACATCCTTTCAAAGAACCAACTTTTGGGTTCACTGATCTATTTTTCCAGTTGTTTTTTCTGTTATCTATTTCATTTATTTTCATTCCGATCTTTTTTGTATTTCCTTCCTTTTTACTTCAGGTTTAGTTTGCTCTTTCTCTCCCCTGCTAGTTTCTTTTCTTTCTTCCATTTTTTTTTTTAAGATTTTTATTTATTTATTTTGAGAGAGAGAGAAAGAGAGAGCATGAGCAAGGTGAAGGGCAGACGGAGAAGCAGACTTCCTGCTGAGCAGGGGGCTCAATGTCGGATTCATTCCTGGGACTCCAGGATAATGACCTGAGCTGAAGGCAGACACTTAACTGACTGAGCCAACCAGGTGCCCTCCACTGGTAGTTTCTTAAGGTATAAGTTTAGATTATTGATTCGAGATCTTTCAACCTTTTTAGTGTGGGCATTTATACCTGTGAATTTCCCTGTAGGCATTGCTTTCATTGCATCCCCATAAGTTTTGGTATGTGTGTTTTAATTCATCTCCAAGTATCTTCTAATTTCCTTTGTGATTTCTTCTTTGGTCAGTTGGTCATTTTGGAGTGTGTTGTTTGAAATCCACATATTTGTGAATTCCCCAAATTTCCTTCTATTACTGATTTTTAATCTCATTGCATTATGGTAGGAGATCATATTTGGATTTAAATCCTTTTAAATTTATCGAGACTTGTTTTATGGTTTAAGACTATGTTTGATGTTTAATTCCATGGGCACTCAGTTTGAAGGATGTGTTTCCTGCTGCTCTTGTGTGAAATGTGCCATACGTGTCTGTCAGGTTTAGTTGCTTTATAGTGTTGCTCAGGTTTTCTGTTTCCTTTTGATTTTCTGTGTAATTGTTTTCTCCATTATTGGAAATGAGGTATAGAAGTCTCCAACTTGTCTTTCTTCCTCGGATTCTGTCAGTTTTTGTTTCATGTATTCTGGGCTTTTTTCACAGATGCATATATATTTATAATTGTTACATCTTTTTAACAGATTGACCTTTTTATCATTATAGAATGTCCTTCTCTATGAACAATGTGTATTTCACAATCATTTTGTTTGTTATTAATTTAGCCATTCCAGCTCTCTTTGGGTTACTATTTACATGGTGTATCTTTTTCCATCCTTTTACTTTCTACCTAATTGTGTTTTGAATCAAACTGTGTCTCCTGTAGACAGCATAAAATTGGATTGTGTTCTCCATCTTGCCAATCCATACCTTTTTTTTTTCAAAGATTTTATTTATTTATTTGACACAGAGAGAGAGATCACAAGTAGGCAGAGAGGCAGAGAGAGAGGAGGAAGCAGGCTCCCTGCTGAGCAGAGAGCCCGATGCGGGGCTCTATCTCAGAACCCCGAGAGCATGACCCGAGCCAAAGGTAGAGACTTAACCCTCTGAGCCACCCAGGTGCCCCAATCCATGCCTTTTTATTATAGATTTTTATCCATTTACATTATATAGTGGTTGATAAGATATGTTATGTCCGTCATTTTGCTGTTGGTTTTCTAAGTGTCTTATCTTTTTTTGTTTCTCTATTTCTCCATTGTTCCCGTCCTTTGTGTTAAACTACATTTTCTAGTATACCATTTTAATTCCCTTGTCATTTCTTCTACTGCCTTTTTCTGGATTATTGTCTTAGTGGCTTGCTCTGGGGATGATAATTACCATTTTCATAACAATTCAGACTGATTCCAACTTAATTTTAATAGTACATAAAAACCGTTCTTGTATAGTTCCATCCTTCTGTCTGCTTTGTCATAAAAATTACATGTTTATACATTGTTTGATCATCAATACAGATTTCTAATTATTTCTTTATGTAGTTGTCTTTTAAGTCAGTTGTCTTTTAAGTCTCAGGTAGAGAGACAAAGAGCTACAAACAAAAAAAAAATACATTCATACTGACTTTTATATTTACCTATATGGTGATCTTACCTGTGTTCTTTATTTCTTTGTGTAGATTTGAGTTACTGTCCAGTGTCTTTCTTTCACCCTAAAGGACTCCCTTTGATATTCCTTGTGAAACAGACCTGCCAACAATGAGTACTCTATCTTTATTTGAAAACATCTAAATTTCTTCTTCATTTTTAGATAATTTTGTAAGGATTTAGAAATTCTCGGTTGACAGCTTTTTTTTTTCCTTTCAGCACTTTTAATATGCCATCCTACTGCATTATGGCCTCTGTGGTTTCTGTTAAGAAATTAGCTGCTCCACTTTTTGAAGGTCCCCTGTGCATGTTGAGTGACTTCTCCCTGCTTTCAAGTTTCTTCTTTTAGCTTTTAACAGTTTGAACGTGACATTTCTAGATGTAGATCTCTTTGAGTTTTTTCCCTGATTGGAGGTGTTGAGTTTCTAGGATGTGTGTTTCTTCTAGGGGTAATGTTTCTCACCAAATTTGAGAAGCTTTTGGGCATTACTTCTTCAAATATTCTTTTGTCCTTTTCTCTTCTTGCCTTCTGGGACTCCTGTTATGCATACGTTGGCACACTTGATGGTGTCCCACAGGTCTCTGAAGCTCTGTTCATATTTACTCATTGCTTTTTCTCTCTTCTCAGACTGGATTATCTCAATTGACTTTTCTTTATGTTTGCTGATCCTTTTTTCCACCTGCTCAAATCTGCTGTTTAGTCCCTCTGAATCTTTTTATTTCAGTTATTGTACTTTGAATTCCAGAATTTCTATATTTGGTTCTTTTTTTACATCTCTTCATTGATATTCTGTAGTTAGTGGGATATCATTCTTGTACTTCCCTTTGGTTCTTTAGATGTGGTATCCTTTGGCCTTTGAATATATTCAAAATCACTGAAGTCTTTAGTTAGTATAATGTTTGGGCTTCCTCAGGGACAGTTTCTATTAACTAACTACTCTTTTTCCTGTGTATGAGCCAGACTTTGTCTTTTTGCATGTCTTACAATTTTTTGTTGAAAACTGGACATACTCAATAATGTGACTTCTCTGGAAACCAGATATTCCTCCCAGGGTTTCTTGTATTGCTATTGTCTATTTAGTGACATTTCTGAACTAATGCTTTTAAGGTGTGTAAAGTATACTTGAACTCTTTAAAATCTTCATCTTGTTTTGATATGCCCACTAAAGTCTGCTTTGTTGGCGTAGTCATCAACTAGTAGAGACTTAAATACCTAAGGGCTCTGTGTACATTTTGGGGCACGCCTTTCGTACTTAGGCAGTTTACAACTGCACATCAGCCTTCACCTCCTGCTTACACAGAACCTCAAGATTAGCCAGAGGTGCGAGCTAAGGGCCTTCCCAAGTCTTTCCTGGACTTGCCTATAGCTCCCAGTGATCATCTAGATTCTTGGGAACATTCAAAACTTTTCAAATTCCCACCTACCCTGTGGACATTTTGTTCCTGGGCTTTTCCTTTTCAGCTTTTTGGTTAGCCTATTGTTTGCCTCAGCTGTTATCCACTGCCTTAGGCTGCTCCCATGTTAAATAATTACTTCTGATTGTTTTCAACAAGCTCTTCTGGAGAAAAACCTGTTCACACTGGGTGAACTCCAGATCATATTTAATAAAGCCTTGCAAGTGGGGTTGTCCACTAAACCACCAGATGGGCCAAAAAATGACAAATTTCCTGAGTATGGGACTGTAAAATTATCTCCAACCTCTCTTTAGTAGCTGCCAGGCTCTGTTTTTCAAAGCTTATTGTTTCATAGTGATTGCTGTTTTCTAGGCTACTGTGGAGCTGGGGTGGAAAGCATAGGAATAATGCAAATAAAAATGTCATGAAGCTTGCTGTTCTTATGAGAATTTAGCTGTTTTTCTTGAGTAAAATGTTTCCTGATTGCTGAAGCCTTTGATTAGTTTCCAGAATTCCAAAGAAGTTTATTCTGATCACTTGGCCAATGTTCTTACCGTTTTTGTAGAGGAAAAGATTTGGGAAATCCTTACTCTGGCATTTTCACTGACCTCACTTCTATGAAAAGAATTTAACACACAACTGAATATCAGAAATTGGGAAAGATTTTCTTATGACATAGGTTCATTTCTTCCTAAGTACCATTGCTTCCTTTGCCCTCTTTAACTCAGCCTCTCTTTCTAGTGAGGGTAGCTCTGTCTGTGTTCTTTCAAGCTGTATTCTGTTAATTTCATTTCTAACGTATGGATGTATCTGTGTATATGTACTTTATGTGGGTTTTCTGAACATAACAGTCAACAGTGAGTGTGTTTGATTTGCAATTTGCTTTTTTTTTCCTTAACTATATGTCTGGGAGGTAATTGTACATAACTGGAGATCTGTGTTTAAGTGTATGGTATTTCATACACATACCATAGGTTCCTTAACTGTTCCATAATTAATGGGCTTTTAGTTAGCTTGTAATAGTCAAGAAAACTAGAAACAGTACTATAGTCTTTTTGTATACTTGTCTTTATTTTATGTATGAATATTTCTCTAAGAAGGCTGTCTAGATGTAGTGTATGTGCATTAGATTTTAAAAATATTTTTAAGTTGTCTTTTAAAAAACTTAAACCTGTTTACATCCCAGCAATGATATGTGAGAGTAACTCTTTTACCACACCGTTACCATTATTAGAGATGACCAGTCTTACGGATTTTTGACAGTGTGGGCAAAATGATATCATACTGATTTTTTTAAAATTTACATTTAAATTACATTTTGTAGGATGGCACCATTGCAACCTCAGTAAGCAATAATTTTTCATCCTTTTCTCCTTTTTAGGGAATGGCATTTACATTACAAGAACGACAAATGCTTGGTCTTCAAGGACTTCTACCTCCCAAAATAGAAACACAAGATATTCAAGCTTTACGATTTCATAGAAACTTAAAAAAATTGAATGGCCCTTTGGAAAAGTAAGAGTCAATTAAATGTTTAGTTCTTTATTGATACTCTGATCAGGAAAATTGGGAACATTATGGTTATTGTTGCATAAGAAATATGCAGTCTTATAATGAAGTTTGTGTTTTAGGCAGTTAACTGTTATTTTTATAATGATTATGTTTCCTTTATTTCACTGAATATTTGTGTTCACTCTTGTAAAATTTAGCAGAAATCTTTTATTTATTTATTTATTTATTTGACAGAAATCACAAGTAGGCAGAGAGGCAGCCTGTGGGGGGGCGGGGGGTGGGGAGCAGGCTCCCTGCTGAGCAGAGACCCCCCCCCCTTGCAGGGGCTCAATCCCAGGACCCTGAAATCATGACCTGAGCTGAAGACAGAGGCTTAACTCACTGAGCCACCCAGGCACCCCAGAAATCTATTTTTTTAAGCCTAAAATCACAGAACATTTCAGCCGTGATTAGAATATTAGAAGCAAAAACTGTCATCTGATTTGTACCCTTTCTCTTCAACAACTTTTATTAATCCTCTGCTTTGTGTGTGTCACTATACTAGTCACTGAGGTTGTGAAGTAAGTAAAAGATAGGTGATCAGTTAATATGTCATCCAATCCAGGGGAGTGAAAAAGAGAAGTAACTGAAACTGTCCCAGGTGAAACAGAGTGTATTGCCACCCCATAGCACAGAGCCCTGCGTTCTAGGAGCTCATCAGTAGTTATACTGTGATCATCATCATACCCTATACTGCAGTGTGCAGCAGAGAAAAGGTACATGCAGAGGATATTCTGAACTTAAAGAGTAATTAACCAAGTTTAAAGAGTACATTAAAGCTTCCTAGAGAAGTGATGCCTGAGCTGAGTTTTAAACAGTACGTTATAAGGGATAGGTAACATGAGAAAGAAGGGCAAGGTATTCTGTGTAAAGAGATCAGTCTGAATGCAGAATTTAAAATATCTTTTGGGGAGCGCCTGGGTGGCTCAGTGGGTTAAGCCTCTGCCTTCAGCTCAGGTCATGATCTCAGGGTCCTGGGATCAAGTCCCGCATTGGGCTCTCTGCTCAGCGGGAAGCCTGCTTCCCCCTCTCTCTCTGCCTGCCTCTCTGCCTACTTGTGATCTCTCTCTCTCTCTGTCAAATAAATAAATAAATAAAATCTTAAAAAAAAAATCTTTTGGGGGTCGGCACCTGGGTGGCTCAGTTTTTAGGTGTCTGCTTTCCGCTCGGGTCATGACCCCAGGGTCCTGGGATTGAGCCCCTTGCAATGGCTCCCTGCTCAGTGGGGAGCCTGCTTCCCCCTCTCCCACCACCCATGCTTGTGTTCCCTCTTTCACTCGTGCTCTCTCTCTCTCTCTCTGTTAAATAAATAAATAAAATCTTTGAAAAATATATCTTTTGGGTTTGTTAAGTACAGGAGATTATTGTTTGATGACAAGTAAGAGTAGTTTCTTTGATCTGATGGGGCAAAAGGAAGAGAACAGTAGACTGAGAAATGATTGAGACGAAAGGAAATCCAGACTGTTTCAAGAAGTTAGATAAGGGGATAGGAAGGACACTGAGCACTAAGTAAAGCAAGACTTGGGTTTCTAGTCCTCCTTGGGGACTATATTTGGGGGTGTATATTTCAGGCCAGAAGGAGGTTTAAGGTGCTCATGCTGTGAGGAATGATCCCAGAAGAAAGGGTAACTGATAGAACAAGATCCCAGAGAATGGAAAGGGACAGAGGGACAAGTGCAAAGTAGAGCTCATAGGGTCAAAGGCAAAGATAGAGGGCGTAGGGTCAAGTGCAGAGGTAGAGGCTGGTCTTGAACAAGAAAAAAGAAAAGCTCATTCTCTGAGGCAAGAGCAAAGATGAAATACAGGCACAGGTAGGGGTAAACCCTGCAGGTGGTGGAGCAGAGCCTGTGAGATCCCATCCCACCTGATGACTTTGATTTTCTATGATGTAGAATATGAAGGTCTTGGCTAAGATTTGTAAGGGTCAAGGTTAAACAGAATTGGTGAGGACAGTAATAAATGTTTAGAATAGCCATTTAGCCAAAAGTGAAGCTGAACAAGGACAGATTAAAGGCCTGGGTAGGCCCGGAACGCCTCATAGCATAATCTTATTTTTATTGATGCTACCCTGCCCAGCAATGTTATTTTTTCCTCAGAAAAGATGAAATGTAACGGTAGTTCAGGTTTGGGGTTTGCTGGGCTGGCAACGATGCTACATTAACTCATTCAGCTAATATTCATTCAGGGCTCCTATGTGCCAGGCATTGTTTTAAGCTCTAGAACTACAAAAATGAGAAATTCCAGCCCTTGCCTTCAGGGAGTTCATGGCTGGAAAAGACAGACACCGTGGCAGGGTAGTGCCGTGATAAAGGTGCGGGGGTGTTCCACAATGGTGAGGATTTGTTGAGGGTGAGAGGCTTGATCGTGGATCCAGTGTGGGGAAAGAAGAAATGCCAGCAGGGAGCCTAATAGAACCGGAGAAAATGAAGTGATCCAGGAGCAGGGCTCTCCGTCAGAACTGTGAGGCATGGCATTGTATAGCTAGCTAAAGAGGGGAGGGTTGCGATCAGAGGACTGCATCCGTGGCATTCAGGATTTCTGAGCTGTAACAGTCCTCGGTGAGGACAAGATCCAGTGGGAAGCATTCAGAGGAGTGACCAAAGTGAAAGGAAGGTGAAAGTGAATCACATGTGCCTGATAAGTCATCTGTTCTTGATGTCTTTGCTGTTTCATAAAGCTAGTCCATCTTCATTGTTTGTTTTCTTCCCTAGCCTGAGGAGCCATCTCCTTCCCTTTGCTACCTACTGGCATTATTTCTGCCTGCAGTAGCTACATAGAAAATATTATTCCTTTTATAAATGGAATCACTTCTCCCTATTTATTCACCAAATATTTGCACACCACTTATATTACATTTACTTTGGTAGTTACTGGAAATAATAGATTTATATAAGGCAGTAGTCCCTAGCTCATAATATCATCCAGGCTGGGGGGAAGACAAAGTCAGGAAGGGGACTGAGAATTGCAGAAATAGGACTAGGGTGTTGAGGGACCTGAAAACAGGAAAATCTGTGTATATATGTGTGGTGGGGGAGGGAAATGGGCAGAAAGGGAGAGCATGCCACCTGTGTTGCATTCAGGGAGTGTAAGTATGGGACTGTGCATGGGTAGAAGGTGATCCAGGCAAAGGGTGTCTTGTGTATAGCGACACCAAGGTAAGAGATGTGGGGCATTTGAGAAACTGAAGTTAAGTTCAGCAGGAGGATAAAGCTAGGAAGTAGACAGAGATCTGGGTAACTATTTTAGAAGCATAAGCCTATTTAATGGGTGTTTGGAAGACAATCAAGGAGAATAGAAATGGTTAGAGTTACTTTTTAAAGAGAAGAATAAATTCGAGCGGGGGAGGGGTAGAAATTGTGTGTACAAAAACTAGTTAGAAAGTTCTTGAGGTGGGGCACCTACATGGCTCAGTCAGTAAAGCGTCCGACTCTTGATTTCACCTCAGATCATGATCTCAGGGTTGTGAAATTGAGCCCTGAGTTGGGCTCTGTGCTGGCATGGAGCCTGCTTAAGATCCTCTCTCCTCCCTCTGCCCCCACCTCTAAAGAAAAAAAAGGAAGAAAGTTCTTGAGGTAGCCCAGGTGAGAAATGATGCTGACTTGGACAGGGTGAGAGTAGAAGGGGGATATAAATATATTTGAAAACTATTTAGCTGGTGGACACTGTAGGTCTTATTGATTTATTAGACTGGGGTAAGACAGAGTGGGCAAGGAAGAAATCAGGAATGGGATCTCAGATTCGAATTCGGTCAGATGATAACAGGACAGACAAGTTTGAGTAAAAAGTAGTCTATTTTACACATATTTAATTCAAGATGATTGGTGGCTTTTTTTCTTTTTCTTCCTTTTTTAATAGGAGAATCATCTACAGCTTTTTATTTTTTAAAAGACTTTATTTATTTATTTGTCAGAGAGAGACAGCATGAGCGGAAGCAGGGGGAGTGGCAGGCAGTGGGAGAAGCAGGCTTCCCACTGAGCAGGGAGCCTGATGTGGAACTTGATCCCAGGACCCTGGGATCGTGACCTGAACTGAAGGCAGGCACTTAGCAGACTGAGCCACCCAGGTGCCCCTTACGACTTTTTATTTTTAAGTTGATTTATTTTATTTATTTATTTGTTTTAGTTATCTCTCTACCCAACATCATACTTACAACCCCCAGATCGAGAGTTACACACGTTTCTGACTGAGCCAGCCAGGTGCCCAGTCACTGGTTTTTTCGAGTCAACATTTCCCAGTTTTCTAAACTTTATTCTTGAAAAGCCATTATATATATATGTGTGCTAATTGACCATTGCTTTTGTGGTACCTCTGCACTCTGTATAGACCCTATAATGCCTTAAACCTACTGGATTCTAACTCCACAAGGACAGGGGTCACTTCTTAAAACCTGGGAGCCCAAAATAGTGCCTGGCACATAGTATTTAGTAAATATTTGAATGAATGCCACTTTATTTTGCTTCCATATTTACATGTCAATAACCTTGAAGGTTCTTTTCTTTTCCTTTTTTTTTTTTTAAGATTTTATTTACTTATTTGACAGGGAGAGAGAGAGAGAGCGTGCACAAGCAGGCAGAGGGAGAGGAAAAGCAGGCTCCCCACAGCAGGGACAGCTTGATGTGGGACTTGATCCCAGGACCCCGGGATCGTGACCTGAGCCAAAGGCAGTCGCTTAACCCACTGAGCCACCCAGGCGCCCGAAGGTTATTTTCTTGAGAGTAGGGTGGTCTCATTGTAGTCTCTGCATTTCTAGCGCCTGGTGTAGAGCCTGACTCAGCGAGGGCTCAGTGAATGTTAGCTGCTGTTTCTGCTGTTCTTCTTTTTCCCCTCTTCTTTGTTATCATCATCTACCGTTTAAGTACATTTTTATTTTTGTTAATTTTTGTCCTTGGTGTCAAATAATGATAATTTAGAGTTTTGTTTTCTGGTAGGGAGGGGAGTCCTGTTTTAGATGTTTGCATATAACTTCTTATTCTAAAGGCCAAAACTTTGAGTGTAAATGCTGACTGATATAGACATTATTTACTGTGCTTAATTTCAGATACATCTATATAATGGGAATACAAGAAAGAAATGAGAAGTTGTTTTATAGAATTCTGCAAGATGATATTGAAAGTCTGATGCCAATTGTATACACACCGACAGTGGGTCTTGCCTGCTCCCAATATGGACACATCTTTAGGAGACCTAAGTAAGGCTTATTTTTAAAGACATAAATTTGTAAATGATTATTGTATGGGAAGAATGGCACTCCCTAACAGCTCTTATATTTCTCTTTTATATATTGCCATCTTATGTCAATCACCGTTCCCTCCTCACCAAAGCTTAATTTGGACAAGAAGGGGTTAATAAAAACCCCGCATGTTCATATCTTGTTGTAGTAGAAATGGCAACATTCATTCCTAACCTTCTGCAAGTTATTATGATTAGTAGAAGAACCCGTGCATTTCTGTACAAAAAAGGGGGGGTTACTCTTGATTTTGGTGGCAGGTTTTCCAGAATTATCATTAATAACAGTTTGACAATCTGCCCAAATTAAAAGATTCTCATTTTTTTGTTGGCTTTAATTTCTGTTGTTTGTTCTTTTTTATGAGCTTCTCCAAATTTTAATATCAAATAGTTCTAGCGCCTCAAATATTTTAAATAGAGTAGGGAAATGGGCATCTACTTAAGTCTTTCCATAAGTCACTTTCTCGCTCTAAATCTGTTTTCTCGTAAAATAGGGATGCTAGTGCCTGTTAAAGAGCAGCAGAGAAGGTCAGATGAAGAACTGATGGGAACAGTTCTTTGTAAACTTGCGATTAATTTGTGTTTTCTTGTCGTGTTCCTCTAACCTGTTAGCATTTGCAGCAGTCCTCACCCCTTTCCCATGTCCTGCTTACGTATCGATGCAAATGGTGGAGACATTCAGGCAATGCACGATAGCATCGATCTTCAGTCTCCCCTCATCTAGCCTTGTGGCTTTCCGATGTTAATGTGTGTACAAAACACCCGTGGGACTTAAAATGCTGATCCGAGCCAACCTTCCTGTCCTTCCCATTCCCAAGATTCTAATGAAAAAGAGAAAGATGTGGCGGGTCTGGGTTTTAATGAACGCGATTGGTGACCGCATTGCACATGCTCCCTGTAAGACACTTTGAAAACAGTCTCTGTCCTACGTGCTGCCATCAGTTAATGTGTGTTAAACATTCCTTAAGTTAACCCGGCTGTTTAGTTCATTTTTGGTTTCTTTTTCATTCAGAATAGTGGTTCTCAATCCAGATTAAAGAACAAGGAGAAACTTAATGTATTTATGCTTGGGCCCCACCTATACAAGTTCTGATTCAGTCAGTCTGGAGCTGGGGCCCGTGTAGGTGTTCCAGAAAAGTTCCTGTCATTCTGATGCGTACCCCGCTCTCAGAACTGACATGAAGCAAAAAGAGCAGGGCTTTGAGGCGACACAGATACTGTGTTTTTTGCATAGAAGATGGTCAGTAAATCTTGATCTCAACTCCAGGTCAGTTTAATCAGAATCTCTGGGGCTGGGACCCCTGGCATTTTTTTTTTAAGCCCATCAGATGATTCTATTATGCAGCTACAGCTGAAGAACGGTTTAAACTGATTTGAGTTAGGATAGCAGTGCCAAAGCTGAGACACTAGTGAGAAAGTCAAGTGTAAGAGCCAGTTTGAAGGCACTGGGGGCCTGTTGGCCTTCATCCCTACCTAACCCGTGTTTCTACATACATGTCTACAACCTGTGTTTCTCCCCGACCCCGTCCCCTTCTTCCTTCCTCTCTTCCTTTTTAAAAATCTAGATTTATCTCAGTTGGATAACAATATGCAGTGTGTTTAAGATAACTTTTCACTTTTTCCTAATGCTTCAGAGACATCCTCTTTTGTGTGAAGTTACTGTACTTTTTCTTCTTTCCCTTCCTGCTCCTTCAAATTTCACATTTTCAGTTTTAGTGAATTTTAATAGTAGTTTTTATAGCTTTATTATGCTGTCCTGAATTGGTGGTTTATGTTTACACTGCTTTTTACACAGGTGTATCGAGTTTCTTCTTGGGTAAAACAGTCATGTCATTTAATAATGATCTTTGTTGCAGCTACTGTGTGCGCAATGCAGTTACAGTTTGGAGTAGTTGAAAATGTTTGAAAATAATCCAGTATGATTTAGCTAAATCTGTTTGGAAATGATACTGTGTCTTGATGTTTTATTAAAATACCTAAATATTCCAGTTATGAACAAAACTTAGGAGAAAACAAAAAACTGTTGTGAAATGCAAAGGTGTTTTTGTTCTGTTGCAGGGGATTATTTATTTCAATCTCAGACAGAGGTCATGTTAGATCAATTGTGGATAACTGGCCAGAAAATCATGTTAAGGTACTACTAATAGCACAATCTTCCTCTTCATAATCTTTTTTTCCTTCTTTGTAAGATGCCTCTGAATTTCCAAGAATAGTTTTCATTGTTGCTCTGATTTATTTTGCACTTGCATACATGCAGATTTAGTGTTCTGAGGAGATCATGACAGTAATAATTGCAAAATGGGTCACCAGTACAGAGCTCGACTCTGGGAATGAAATGGGAGTTAGTTCACAAGGTGAACCTGTCACTATTGATACCATGGTATTTCTTGCCTTCTCTATATTCCTTTTCAATATTATTCTAGGTAGAGAAAACACATTAAAATGCCATAAAAGCTTTCATTTTTTTGGGTGGTGAGAGGATTTATGACACTTCTTTCTTCTAAATCTCAGATGGATTTAGATCCTTAAGCAAATATAAAACTCTGTAGAGTTTCAAATTTAATAAATATAAATCTTGGTCCACGTGGCTGTCTTTCATAAAATAAAATCCAGTGATTTACTTAAGATCTTTTGGCAGGCTTTAGAGCTTGTTATAGGCAGTAATCTTGCCTTTATAACATGTCTTCCTCACCAAAATAATCTTCGATGAATAATCATGAGCTCTAATAATCTAGAAAAAATTTGGCCAGATAATTAAACTGTTAGTATGACCTTTAAACCTTGTAGATAGGTATATTTTTTATTTTAGATCTTCTTCCCCCCACTGTTGTTAAGGTGTTTCTTGTTTGGCCTAGGTTATTATGTGGGAATAGCATATCGTTCCATTCTAACCTTGTTTTTCTCTTCTGGTGGCTCTCTATCAGAAGTTTGCCTGCCTCTCCCCAGTTTAGTTTTTGTGAAGATACATAACTGAGCCTCCAGTCAGAAACATTCTGTTTCTAAACCAAAGACAAAGGGAAATCAGATCTAGTTCATCTTTGTTTCACACCTAGATTCTAGAAATCCTAGAATTTTAAATACGCTTGGTTGGTTTACTTTGGAAGTTAGTCAAGAAATAATCTTATTTTTAAAAGTGAGAGTGAAAATACACAAAGAATCTTTTTTCAAATGCTTTTTAGTACCCCACTTTTGACAACTTTTAATTTATATATTTTTTTGTAATTAAGGCTGTTGTGGTGACTGATGGAGAGAGAATTCTGGGTCTTGGAGATCTGGGTGTCTATGGAATGGGAATTCCAGTAGGAAAACTTTGTTTGTATACAGCGTGTGCAGGAATACGGCCTGATAGATGCCTGCCTGTGTGTATTGATGTAGGAACTGATAATCCAGTGAGTAAAACCATTTTCTGCCTTTGATCTTCCTCCCATATTTAAAAAACAAAAGCTTTACGACATTCTTCTCTCGAAGATAATATAAAGATGGGAAAATTTCATGATTAAAGTTAGTCTTTTCTTAAACTGTGCTTTTAATATTTATACAAATAACAGTAAATTAAATCTATTAAGTTTCTTGAAAAAATGTAGCAAGGTTTTAAAAGTTACCTTAGTAATTTTTTTTGTTTTGCAGTTTTTGTTTTATAGAATATGTTTAAGCTGGTTGTGTAACAAAATGATTTTATTTTTGCATTTGGTCTATGTTATAGGCACTCTTAAAAGATCCATTTTACATGGGCTTATATCAGAAAAGAGATCGATCACAACGTTATGATGACCTGATTGATGAGTTTATGAAAGCCATTACGGACAGGTATTTTTTTTTTAAGTTGGAGTAAATGAAAGCATCTTTAATTAATAAAAGAAAGGAACCACAGTTTTTTCTTGATCTCTGATAAAGATGCATAGAAGGAGATACATTTTTGAGAGCTTGGGTTCTGTCCTGATTGCTTAGGTGTACTGATACTGGTGAGACCTTTCGCATTCTGCCTTGCTCTCCTGAGTTGTCTGACCTCCTGCAGGAAGTCTGCGCTCCCCACTCCTGCCAGACCCTCACTGCTCAGCTCTCCCAGCCCTAGGCAGCCGGGCTCACGTCCACCCTTCCTGGGACTCTTGGGCAGCTTTCGTGTTTCAGATTCACTGACCATGGATCCTCCTCTCTCTCTACTTCTGCAGCATCTGATCAGAATAAAGGCCGCATTCCCTACTTTTGCATTCAAGAGTCTCCCTTATCTGGCCCCAACCTACCATAACCAACTTCTCCTTATCTTCTCACATAAACCCTGAAATATATAGCCTGACTGTTGAAAATTCAGGGTCACCAAAATACACCTTGTTTTTCTTCCTATCTCTTTACTTTTTGTTCTTTGAGGGCCCAAATAAAGTCTTACCTCCTTTTCAAGCCTTCCCTTACCTCAGCTCACCAGGGTGATTGGGGTCTTTTTTTGAATGCCAGCGAACTCTTACAAAAATTACTTTTTAACCTCTTATTTAATATATACTTTCCTGTGTTGCTGTTTAACTGCTAATATGGTGAGAATACACATATCAAATATATACTTTATGAGACTGAGATAAAAATCTCTTTCTTTTTAGGAAGTTACTTCATGCTTATATGAGCTGGGCAACCTTGTAGGCACTTGGAAATAGTTTATACTGATTAATATCACATAGATTCACCCCACAAATTTTTCTGAATGAGTAATAGATTTCTGCATTTCAACTCCAGTTTTCAGAGGCTCTGAAAATTGCCAGGTGGCCTTAAATGGACTGACTTGAGACATTATTTCAAAATGGAATCATAAGGAATATTAGACAGGAAAGCTTTTTAATAATGATATTTTCAATACCACCGTTATGGGTTTTGCTGTTTTAGATACGGACAGAACACACTTATTCAGTTTGAAGACTTTGGAAATCATAATGCATTCAGGTTCTTGAGAAAATATCGAGAAAAGTATTGTACCTTCAATGATGATATTCAAGGTAAAGCAAAAAGAAAACCTTAGATTTTTGATCCCTACCTTCTTTAAACCTTTTTAATCTGCCCCTTTGTTATCTTAAAAAATCTTTATTTGAGGGGGTGCTCCTGGGATGCACAGTCGATTGAGCGTCTGACTCTTGATCTTGACTCCAGGTCATGGTCTCCGGGTTGTGAGATGGAGCCCCACATGGGCTCTGCACTCGGTGGGAAGTCTTCTGGAGATTCTTTCCCTCGGCCCTCCCCCCCCGCACCCTGTTCACGAGCACTCTCTCTCTTCAAAATAAATAAATCATTTACAAAACATCCTTATTCATCTTACAGGGACAGCTGCAGTAGCCCTAGCGGGTCTTCTCGCCGCACAGAAAGTTATAGGTAAACCACTCTCAGATCACAGAGTCCTATTCCTTGGAGCAGGAGAGGTACGTTTTTGTGCGCTTTGAGCATTTAAATCTAAAACTCTCCTTTAGAATTGGAAAAATGGGACATAATGAGCTTCTCATTTTGTTATGATCTTGTATGAATGGAAGATCTCTGTTGTAAAGTAGGTAATTTAACATATGTTTAGAAATACTATGTTTAGAGAGAATATCACAAAGAATCAACTTTTGCCGGGTGCCCAGGTGGCTCAGTCATTAAGCGTCTGCCTTTGGCTCAGGTCATGATCCCAGGGTCCTGGGATCAGGCCCTGCATCGGGCTCCCTGCTCGGCAGGAGGCCTGCTTCTCCCTCTCCCACTCCCTCTGCTTGTGTTCCCTCTCTTGCTGTGTCTTTCTCTATCAAATAAATAAGTAAAATCTCAAAAAAAAAAAAAAAAAGAATTTTTACGTGATTTGTTAGAGAATAAACCAAATATTCCTCATAATGCATAATCCTCATATATAAAGTAATTCAAGCATTCTATTATACCCTGGTCTTTATTTTTTAAATTTATGTTTCGTTGGACAGGCTGCTCTTGGAATTGCAAATCTCATAGTTATGGCTATGGTTGAAAATGGTCTCTCAGAAGAAGAGGCGCAAAAGAAAATTTGGATGTTTGACAAGTTTGGTTTGTTAATTAAGGTAAGGTATTTAAATCTTGGAGAAGCAAAAGAATGTTGTTAAAATGATACTTTTAGTTTGACTTTTTAAAAATATTATCAATTCCTAAAATACTATATCGCACTGGACTATCCAGATTGTACCCATTGGGGGACCTTCCAGTATATTCTCAACAGAAATCCTCCAGTCTCCTTTCTGTCTTTTATAAAGACTCTTGCTTCATATTCAAGTCATAATCTCCATGTTGGCACCAGACATATTCTTTCTTGCTTTGTTCTCTTTAAGAAATCAAGTAACCATACAAATAAGATTGTACTTGGCCTTTCTAAAACTAGGTTTTTAATTGGAACTCAGAAGTTCCTAATTAAATTGTTAGCAGGACATCTGACATTTGAGCAGAAATTCCTTAGCCATTTAGAGATCATAGGCCCTTGTAACAGTCCGAGAGCAATCCATGGATCCTTTCCTGAGGCCAGTTCATGGATACAGAAGAGCTTCCAACCCAGATTAATTTAGTATCCTTTGTACCTGCCTGCTTTCCTAGCACTGATTGCCATTTTTAGTAGCTTAAGAAATGCATTATATCTTACACTGTGTAACACATTAGGTAAACCATTTCACAGTTGAACCTACAGTACCAGCGCTGTTGTATTTTTGCTCTATACAAAGACAGCAATTACTTGAAGCAGACCTCTTCAGAGCAAGCTTATTTCAACGTACTTTGTTTCAGTTCTGAAATCTTTCCTTCTTAACTAGTACTCACAACTATTGACACGGAAAATAAAATGAAAAAGTGTTTGAATGAAAAATCTTGAGCGCTTAAATTATACATAATAGTTTAAAATGTACCAGACCTTATGATAAGATTCTGTAGGTATTATCTCGTTCAATCTTCTGTGAAGTTTTACAAATAAGGAAACCTAGGATTTAAAAGGGCAGGTGACTTTCCAAGGTCATTAGCATAAGTAGTGGATGTCAGAGTCACATCCAAGCAGACTATGAAGCCTGTGCTCTTGACCATGAAGCTGTGCTGCCTTCCAAGTGAGCTGTCACCACCGTATTTGCTTGTATCTAAGATACAAGGATTAGAAACTTTGTACTTTTAGAAGGCCATTGGCAGCATACATATTTTTACTGGTACGCAGTTTGGTGCTTCTTTTTGTGGTGTTGGTTTTCACAAATTTTTTTTTATATTTGTAGCAAGTCAAGTCTAGAATGAATATGCTGTTGGTTAGCGTAAATGTGAATCCCGGAATATCTGCAAGTTCGGGGAATATTTTTCTTTTAGGGTGTGTGAATAGCTTGACTTACGGGTTTTAGGCGTCTGGACTCCCCTGCTGACCCAAACACTGCCCTCCTTTTTGAGACTCTGAGAGTTTCCTGTTAAACCTACATATTGGAGAGCTGTGGTCCTCCAGGGGGCAAGTATAAGAAGCCACTGTTCTGAGAACCTGAATCTGTTGAGGCTATATGTCAGTCCTTTAGTTAACTTCCCATCTAACTGATTATGGCGTGCTGCTTTTCCCAGACCCTGCTAGTTCTTATCTGGGGGTATTCTAGTGTTCTGATAGAAAAATTCACCTCTGCAGTGGGTTCTCCTCTTTTGCTAAAATAAGGATACAGATTTCTCAGCCTGGTTGGATTTTGCATTTGATATATTTTTGACTGCTTTAAATTGTTGAAAAATTCTCCATTGTTCTAGTTTGTCAGTGGTATGTCTCCTGGCCTTATAACACCACTAAGGATTTAATTTTTATAGTTTTTGGCTTGGGATTTAGGGAGGAAAGCATGTTTCTCCATTCAGCCATCTTGGACCAGAATTCTCTGTTCCTCTTGTTTCAGAACTCTTGCTAGTACAAGTCCATGATGTCTATCTGCAATTGTAAAATCCTAAAAGCTCTGAAATCCCAAAGTTTTTTTGAAATTGGTAACAAATCTGATTGACTTGGACTTACCTAGTAGCAAAACCAGAGAGGTATTTGTAGTCTTGACCTTTTGTACTTAGTGTACTAAATTTTCTTCAGTTTGGGGTGCCCATGTTAGGGGATTTTAATATTTGATATATTACCACAATACCTTTCTAAAGTATGAAAATATTTTACATCTAGCCTAGATAAGGGATTGTAAGCCTTTGTGCCATATTGGATTTAGAAGCACTTCACAAAGTAAATGAGTTTTTGACAGGGACTAGAAAGTTTCTGGTTAAGGTGGGATTTATGTTTTATATCTGGGTTTTGTGGACACTGGAAGATAGTGGCTGAAGAGGAAAGTAAATGAGAATGAAAAGGCATTCCTATTGTAGAAAGAATATATGACTCATAATGATGTCTTTTCCTTAATCCTCAGTAAGCATTTACTAAAAAATACTGTATTTTTCCCAAAAATTCAGGGGCGGAAAGCTAAAATAGACACTCATCAGGAACCATTTGCTCACTCAGCCCCAGGGAATATACCTGATACTTTTGAAGAAGCAGTAAATATTCTCAGGCCTTCAGCTATAATTGGTGAGTAGAATTGTTGACATGTCATCATATCACTTAACAATATGTTGCTGGTCATCAGTACCATGCAGGAGTACTAAAAATGAAATGACCTATTTTATCTAACTTTCAGCATATAATGTGTTTTTCTGTGATAGCCTTTATGTGTAAAGTTCAGTTAACAGATGTTGCCTGTGATCTTAAGTGTGGGAAACTGTACAATTTATCATGCTTTGCTTTTAGACTTGGTGTGACTGCTGTGCTCAAAACCTGAAAAAGACCAAGGTCATATGATAGACTAAACCAAGAAGTCCTATGCAGGGTCAAATCTTTGCACTGGCAGCAAAGCAGAAAGCGTTGTTATGTTTTGAGAGTAAGGCATTGCATAGCTGACTTCAGAGTATGCCAAAATGGTATTGGGTTCACCCCAGAAAATGTAAAAGTCTTTATTTTGTTTTTTATTTTTTATTTTTTTATTAACATATAATGTATTATTTGTTTCATGGGTACAGGTCTGTGATTCGTTAGTCTTCTACAATTCACAACACTCACCATAGCACATACCCTCCCCCAAAGTCCATCAGAAAGTCTTTATTTTTTTAAAAAGATTTTATTTATTTATTTTAGAGACAGAGAGAGGATGCGAGCAGGGTGTAGGGTGGGTAGGAGGGGTGGGAAGAGCAGAAGGACAAGCAGAATCTGTGTCTAGGGCAGAGCCCGACACAGGGCTCAATCCCAGGACCCTGAGATCATGACCTGAGCTGAATCCAAGAGTTCAGATGCTTAACCAACTGAGCCACCCAGGTGCCCCAGAAAATGTAAAAGTCTTTAAAAGAGGAGCTATTTCATTTCCTATATAGCTGTGAGATTTGAATCCATAAGTTTTTAATAGTTTTATCACTTTCTTGTAGAACCCCTATTGAATGTTAAATAGAAAACAGTCACAGACAGTAAGTTTCTGTGGTCGTTAGCTTCTTCATTGATTAGAACACACAATTTCTTAGGGCAAGAGGACATCTTGAAGATCACCCAATTTCTCTCAAAATTCAATATGAAAACCTAAGAATCTGTCCACCGATTTTCTCTCTGGAGGGTCAAGGAAACAAAAATTGAAAAAGTTTAATTCCTTTAGAACTCATAGACTCCTAAAAATATGTCCATACACTTCCCTATAGAGAAACACTAAATATAAATTATTTTTTTACATAAGAAAAACAAGCACAGAGATGTTAAACAACTTGCCCAAGATTTGTGAATATTTCATATAGCCAGGAGTGACAGAGAACACTAGAACTCTAGTCTCCAGATCAGTATTCTTTGTTACATATCAGTTTTTAAAGTAGAATTGAAAATTAACTATTTTGATTGTTAAATATAAGTCATCTTACTAGATGAACTGGAAAAGGACTCAGCTGAGGTTTTGCTTGGTCATCCCCAGATTCCCGTCATAGGCTGAGTGCTCTTCATGCTTCTGTAACACTGCATACCTGGCACCTGTTACAGGTTTTCTCATTTTCTGCCTACTTTGTTTTTCTCTCCCCTGTAAGTTGCATTGTGTTCATGTTTATATCCCAGTAGCCTAATGCAGTGTCTGAGACATTGTAAGGACTAAAGAAAAGGTCATTAAATTGCGTCAAGAAAGTAGATTGCTTTAGTCAAGATGATTTTTTATCCCTTCTGAATTCCTATTATTTGTTTAATTAAACCCGAGTGTAACAATTTAACATTTGAAATGCAAGTTTTTAACTTTTTTTTTTTTTTTAAGATTTTATTTAGTTATTTGACAGAGATCACAAGTAGGCAGAGAGGCAGGCAGAGAGAGAGAGGAAGGGAAGCAGGCTCTCTGCTGAGCAGAGAGCCCAATGTGGGGCTCGATTCCAGGACCCTGAGACCATGACCTGAGCCGAAGGCAGAGGCTTAACCCACTGAGCCACCCAGGCGCCCCAAGTTTTTAACTTTTTAAAATTCATTTTTAATTGTGGTAAAATACACATAACATAAAATGTGCCATCATAACCACTTTTTAAATTTAAATTCAACATATAGCCAACATATAGTAAGTACATCATTAGTTTCAGATGTAGAGTTCAGTAATTCATGAATTGTATATATCATAACCCTTTTTAAGTGTATGATTAGGTAGTGTTAAGTGCATTCACATTGTTGTGCAGCTGGTTTCCAAAACTCATTTTGCAAAACTGAAACTCCATACCAATTAAACAAATACTTTCCCTAGCCCCTTGTTGCCACCTTTCTACTTTTTGTGTTTATGAATTTGACTACTCTGAGTATATCATGTAAGTGGAATCACATAGTATTTGTCCTTTTGTGACTGGCTTATTTTACCTAGCATAATATCCTTAAGGTTCATTCATGTTGTAGCAAGTTTTATCTTAATTAGACAGAGATGGAGATAGTCATACTCTTTTTTTTTTATTTCCTAGAATTTACTATGTTTGGGGTAAACAATAAATATTTTAGTAAAAACTTTCAGCATTTTATTGTTTTCAGATTCGAGATTGTGTTCCTATGGCATTATCTTAGCAATAGAAAATATGTGTTTTGTTGTATTAAACGTATTGCAGAAATGCTGTTGATAAGAATTGTTTTATGTTACATGTAAGGAAGTTGCTTTTCCCCCCCTTATGTATTATAGGAGTTGCAGGAGCTGGCCGACTTTTCACTCCTAGTGTAATCAAAGCCATGGCTGAAATCAATGAAAGGCCTGTAATATTTGCATTAAGCAATCCTACAGCAATGGCTGAGTGCACGGCTGAAGAAGCATATACACTTACAGAGGTACTACTAATAATTGTCTGAATTGGTTATGTCCATTATTTTCCTTCCATTGGCCTTAGTTATACATTCTTGCATAATTCTTTTCATGGTTAACTGTAGAGATTACAGTATGTATCCTTGGATCATCAAGTTCTGATATAAACTATTGTGTGTATGAATTCTGGAACATAATTACCATACATCTCCATTTTAACACCTTTCTGTCTTGTGGGCTGTTGTTGTACATTTTAATTATATTTTAAATCCCAAAAGACAGTCTTGTTCTAAACACAAAATAATTGATTTTGATACATTTTGATACATTTTAATATCTTCTCTTGCCATTCTGTCTGCCGTGTATGTCTGTGCTTTTATCTTGGGTCATTTTCCTTCTACCAGAAGAACTTTCCTTGAGTGTGGGTCTGATGAATTTATTTTAATAATCTCTTTATTTTGCCTTCATTTTGAAGGATATTTTTTACTATGTATAGAAGTAAAAGTCAGTGGAGATAGTATTCTATTATTTCCTGACTTCTGTTTTCCTTTTGATACATCGTTTTGTCTTGGGTTTGGCTATAATGGACGTAGTTGAGTTTGTATTTATTCCAGCTGGAACTGTAGAACTCTGTATCTTGATGCCTTCTTTTGTGGCCTATGTTGGAAGTACCTGGGTTGGCTGCATTCTCTGTCTGCTCTTGTGGGTCTCCGGTTGGAGAGTGTCAGACTTGTTCTCATATCTCAGATATCTCTTACACGGCTTTTTGCATATTCCATCCTGCTGACATTCTGTGTGGTCTTTCTTTCTTTCTTTCTTTCTTTATTTTTTAAAAGATATTTATTTATTTATTAATTTGAGATAGAGAGAGAGCAAAAGGAAGGACAGAGGGAAAGGGACAAGCAGACTCTGTGCTGAGCGCAGAGCCCAATGCAGGGCTTGATCCCACGACTCTAAGATCATGACCTGAGCTGAAATCTAGAGGTGGATCAGCTTAACCCACTGAGCCACACCAGCACCCCTGCATACTGTATTTTAATATTTTCTTTGGGTATATCTTCCAGTTGCATGCACTCTTTTTAGCTATGCTAATCTATTGCTAGGCCCTTAATTTTATTGTATTTTTCATTTGTAGAATTTCAATGTGACTGTTTTTCTAATTAGTGAAACAGACTTACAATGGCATATTACAGAAATAATCAATTCATAAATAAATTCTGCTTCCTTGCCGTCACATTTAATAAAACAATTCTTTTTACTCTCCAAACATAGCTTCACTGTCGGTATTTGTCTTCATGAAAGCCATTGTTTTCAGTCATCTGACAGCTGTCAGGAACAAGTTTTTACTTTCATCCAAGTCATTTAAGGTTTAGTACTTCTGAATTCTTTGACACAGCCCCAGGACTATATCCCAATTACAGGTGTCTGCTCATATACCATTAGGACAGTTAGGTTTTCCCCACTGTTCTGTAGGGATATATTTTTAATCTCCACAATGTAATCATGTTCTGTATTGTTCTTGTAAGTGGTCTTTAAGTGACCCCAGGAAGTAGTATTTAAAGGCTTGTTTACAGTGACACCCAACAGGAAATTATTAGGTCATATACTTCAGAATAGGTAACCAATCTGTGATGAATGCTTTTTTCTGCACTCTATTAAAAATGTCTTTTTTTTTTTTTTTAAAGATTTTATTTATTTATTTGTCAGAGAGAGAGAGAGGGAGAGAGAGCAAGCACAGGCAGACAGAATGGCAGGCAGAGGCAGAGGGAGACGCAGGCTCCCCGCTGAGCAAGGAGCCCGATGTGGGACTCGATCCCAGGACACTGGGATCATGACCTGAGCTGAAGGCAGCTGCTTAACCAACTGAGCCACCCAGGCGTCCCTAAAAATGTCTTTTATTACGGAAAAGTTCAAACATATACAGAGGTAGAATAGTCAACTCCCATATGCCAGCACCAGCTGTGGAAATATCACCTCCTTCTCAATCTTGTTTCTTCTACGTCCTTCCCACCCTAAACAGATCTCAAGACATCGTATCGTTTCATTGTAAATCTCTCAAAAGTTAAGAGTTCTTTTAAAGATATAATCATGGGATCATTACCACACCTCACAATTTTTAACAGTATGTTTCACATACTTATTTCATCTTTCTACATAGCTTATAGTTCTCTGCTAAATAGTCTATCTTGTTATTTAATTTCTGAAATATATGAATCATGATGAAAGTTAATGTCTGATAGCAGGAAATACATTACTCTCTGTGAATCCATTTCTATCCTCTTTCTTTTTCTTGGTTATGCAGTCTTGTATTTTTGTAAGCCTCGTTTTATTTTTGTTTTTTGTTTCCTTCTTGAGTGCTAGATGGTGTGGATAAACAATTGTAGCGGTAATTTGAGGCTCTGGAGGAGGGGGTCTTCCCTTTTCCTGTGGTGGGGGTTGGTCTGGAGCTGCTCACCTTAATCTAATCAGGATGCGGTCCATGGGGTGCCTGCTCTCTTTCCACGGTTTACGCTTTCTCCCAGCGTGTATCCCTTCGCGCATGAATCACAAGTCCAGGGCTATTTATTAGCAGCCATCACCCCCAGCAGGCCCTGAACTTTTCTCCCTCTGTCATCGTGAGGCTCCTGATAGCTTTGTTGCTCAGGTTCTCAGCCACAGATACCGCTTATTTTGAAATCCGCAGTCTTCATGAGGGGGAAAGCTTCAAATAAGTGCTGGAATCACATGTATCTTGTTTTCCTCCTCTTCTGCATCTCCCACACCCAAGCTCTCATGATTTTGATAGCACTGCTGCTTTCTTTCTTTCTTTCTTTCTTTTTTTTTAAGATTTTATTTATTTATTTGACAGAGAGAGATCACAAGTAGGCAGAGAGGCAGGCAGAGACAGAGGAAGGGAAGCAGGCTCCCTGCTGAGCAGAGAGCCCGATTCAGGGCTCCATTCCAGGACTCTGGGATCATGACCCGAGCCGAGCCTAGCGAGGGCAGAGGCTTAACTCAATGAGTCACCCAGGCACCCCACACTGATGCTTTCTTAACAGATATTTTTAATGTATTTTATCCAGTTTCTCTCATTGTTATCAGAGGGAGACTGGGTGTGAAACAGCCTAGATCATTGCCAAAGCAGAACCTTCTCAGAACTTTCCAGACTTAGTATTCATGCTCCTTAAGTCTTCAGCATTCTTTTTTTTCTCATTGCCAAAGTATTTATTTTGATACATACATTCCTTCTAAATTTCTTTTGCTTCATATTGCCGCTCAGTTTAGTCAAAATGAATTCTGACTGCTGGTTTCCAAGTTATAGTAATCACTGAAACTTCTAATAGTTATTGAAATCTTTTTCTTTGAAATCATCCACAAAATCAGCCTCCAGATAGCAAAGTAATAAATAAATGAAAATCAGTCTCTTTTAGTATACTGCCTTATCTTTTTACCAAAGTATGGTATCCTATTTACCAGTCTTTACTACTTAAAATTAATGGTTATTGCCCCCAAGATTAAGTCTTAGTCGGATACAATGACTGATAAATATACTCAATTTGTCAGTAGGTTTTGGCATTTTAGAAATATAAAATATGTAAATGTTTTGGGCAGTAGTAGCATATCACTGGAAGATGGCCCAAACATTTAAGAATTTTATTTTTTGAATAAATACCATCATGAGAGCTGTGTATTACTAGAATAAATAAAAATAAAAATCCAACAAGGAGACTAGTTTGATATATTATAGTCTATCAGTTCTAAGATGCAAATTTTTTCTCAATATTGTATTACCTCCTAAAAATGATAAAAAAGCATTGTGTCATAGTTTAATTTTACATAAATTCCTTCTTAGTCTTACATAAAATAATGGCATAAATTACATATTTGCAGTCACCTCTTAAATTTTTAGTGTCCTTTTGTTTTCAGTAGAGAGAAGTCTTAGTGTTACTCTAACACCCTCTGCTGCTTAGTGAGAAAAATACTTCTTTTTAATTCTTGAACTTCAGAATGAGAACACTTGGTTATCATTAAGATCCAGCCATATTTGATTGATCATGTAAGACAAAAAATATCCTGAAGAAGAACTGCTGTAGAATCTTGCCATTCTAGAGAAAATACCCAAGATCTTTCTAAATCTAAAAATTTACTGATATCATGAGAATGTAATATTTTTCCTATAAAGAGCTTATATCATATAAGCCATTTTATAAAGCTATTAAAATTAATGATATTACAAAAATAATTATTATATGCATTATCATTGTAATGTTATATGGCATTAACCATGAACTGACTTTAATCTTCAAAGAAACACAATTTCATCACAGTCTCTGTGCTTAGAACAGGTGGAGAATGATCGTAGCTCTCTGTAGAAAATGATACAGCCGCCTGACATTGTAGCATCAGGATAGTCTCCTGGGGCCAGCCCTAGCATAGTTAGATAGCTTCTATACTTTGTGTCATTTTGAAACTGAAAGTATGTCTTGTAAAAGTAAAAATTAATACACATTGTAGACCTTCAGGTGGTCCAAAGGGTCAGACTGATGAGTGTTAAATCCACTAATGCCAAGGATTCACTATACTTCAGAGAATAATCAGCCTTGATAGAATACCCATTTTTAGATCTAGAGAAAAGAAGACAAAATATTGTCTAAACACTTATTATTCTGTCCAATGTTCAGGTACCATGTGAGTTTGTCCATCCTTCTGTGTGGAGATAGTTCAGTTTTCTGTAAACCATCTCATACTTAATCCAGGTAGCTGTTCAAACATGACTGACTTTTGGCTCAGTCGGTTAAGCTTGATTTCAGTTTGGCTCATGATCTTGGGGTTGTGGGATCGAGCCCGGTGTCAGGCTCTGTATTTGGTGTGGAGTCCGCTTAGGGTTGGCTTTCCCTCTCCCTCTGCCCTTCCCCGCTGTGCTCTCTCTCTCTCTCTCTCTCTCTCTCTCTCTAAAACACATAAATCTGGGGCGCCTGGGTGGCTCAGTGGGTTAAAGCCTCTGCCTTCGGCTCAGGTCATGATCCCAGGGTCCTGGGATCGAACCCCACATTGGGCTCTCTGCTCCGTGGGGAGCCTACTTCCTCCTCTCTCTCTGCCTGCCTGCCTCTCTGCCTACTTGTGATCTCTGTCTGTCAAATAAAATCTAAAAAAAAAAAAAATTGCTAAAATACATAAATCTTTAAAAAATAAATAAAAATTTAAAAATAAAAGAAATAAACATGACTTACTTTAGTCATACCTCAAGCATTCCAAGATAGATTATCCTGTTTGAGAACTACTGTTTTCTTGCTCTTTGCCGTTTTTTGCCAAAGAGGAGTGGAGCAGATGGGATTTGTGGTGGGGAAATGATATTTAAAGGATTTATGGAGGCACCTGGGTGGCTCAGTTGGTTAAGCGTCTGTCTTGGGCTCAGGGCTCAGGGCTCAGGTCATGATCCCAGGGTCCCTAGGTCCCTCCTCAGCCAGAAGCTGCCTCCTTCCTCTCCCTCTGCTGCCTCCCGGGGTTATGCTCTCTCTTTCTCACTCTCTCTCTCTCTCTTTATCTCTCTCTCAAATAAAGTCTTTAAAGAAAACAAGAGATTCATAAATTTACTTTCAGGTACTTTTCAATTTCACAGGTATCTAATTCTCCTAGAAATATTGAACATGGGGGCGCCTGGATAGCTTAGTCAGTTAGCATCTGCCTTTGGCTCAGGTCATGATCTCAAGGTCCTGGGATGAGCCCTGCATGGGGCTCCCTGCTCAGCAGGGGAGTCTGCTTCTCCCTCTGCCCCTCCCCTGCTCATGTGTACTCACTTGCTCTCTCTCAAATAAATAAATAAAATCTAAAAAAAAAAAAAAAAAAAGGAAATAATGCATATGCTAGTAACATTATATTCCATTATTGAACACAGTACTAAAATTGGTACTACAAATTTGGAGACTTATTTTTCTTTAACAAGGCAACATGCTGTATTTTTCTGGGGTAATACTGTGGTTATACCATACATAGGTTTTGTAAACTGTCCTACAGGAGCATTGTTAGCATAATAGAAAGACCATGGGCTTTGGAGTTACAAAAAAAAAAAAAAAAATCTGGATTCAAGTTTAACTACTACAATTGTAACGTGTGACTTTTTACAAAGTACTCGGTAATCTAAATTCTAGTTTTTTGAGATTTTTTTTTTTTTTATATCAGTGAGGTGGAGATGATGATAATCTCATAAGGCTTTTTATGCAGGCTAAACTGGGGGAACACATACAAAACACCTGGTACAGAGCCAAAATTAATAGATGTATGGTCAGTGATCACAGTTTAACCTTTGGTATGTTCCCCTTCATTCACAGATGTTTATAGCAATCTTCATTATTCAGGATGGTATTTGTTGGCCCATCTACATTTTAAACTTTTTAAAGGAAGTAGAAGGGGCACCTGGGTGGGTCAGTGGGTTAAAGCCTCTGTTTTCAGCTCAGGTCATGATCCCAGCGTTCTGGGATTGAGCCCCACATCGAGCCCCACATCGGTCTCTCTGCTCCGCAGGGATCCTGCTTCCTCCTCTCTCTCTGCCTGCCTCTCTGCCTACTTGTGATCTCTGTCAAATAAATAAATAAAAATCTTAAAAAAAAATAAAATTAAGGAAGTAGAAGTGTGAGGTTTTTTAGTTTCCTGATGGACAATTTTCAGTTTTATTTGAATGTGTGCTCTGCATAAAAACTCATTCTGATAAGAATTTTAATGAAAGATTATGTTATATAGTAAATTATGACTGTTTGCAAGTAATACATTGGTCTATTTTAGTACAGGATTTAATTGTGTTTTGACTAACCTCAGTGTTGGTCCACATTAAGTTACAAATTGAGGTTATTTCATTTCTTACCAGGGAAGGTGTTTGTTTGCCAGTGGCAGTCCATTTGAGCCAGTGAAACTCAGTGATGGGCAAGTCTTTACACCAGGCCAAGGCAACAATGTGTATATTTTCCCAGGTAAGTGCCACCATGATTTATATTAAAGAGTAATAGGTAATTAAGTTAAAATACTTAACAAAATTACGTAGAATTTAAGATTAAAATGAATAATAGTATTTATAGAATTTTGCTACGTATATACAGGGAAACTCAAGGAATTCAGCAAATCCAGCTTGCTTTATTTTCCCTGTAAATGTATTTATTCATCTTTTCCATTAAGCTTGTTCTTATTATAGAAATAATGTAGTACATGGTATATAAAAATGCAAAAGGAACAGAATGTTATAAAATTATTTAGTCTTTGCCTTCAGTACCTCTTTTTTTCCTAAGTTTTTATTTAAATTCCAGTTAGTAAAAAAATTTCAAAAAATAAATTCCAGTTAGTTATACAGTGCAGTATTAGTTTCAGGTGTACAATTAGTGATTCAGCACTTCCATCCAACACCCAGTGCTCATCAGGACAAGTGCTCCGTAATCCCACCACCTGTTTAACCCACCCCCCCATCCCCACCCCTCCTCTGGGAACCATCAGTTTGTTCTCTATAGAAAGAGTCTATTTCTTTGTTTGCCTCTCTTTTTTCCTATTGCTTGTTTGCTTTATTTCATAAATTCCACATATGAGTGAAATCAAATAATCTTTGTCTTGCTCTGACTGACTTATGTTGCTTAGGGTAATACTTTCTAGCTCCATCCATGTTGTTGTAACTGGCAAGGTTTCATTCCTTTTTTTTTTTTCTTAAGGGCTGAGTAATAGTACATTGTATATATATACCCATCTTCTTTTTATTTTTTTTAAAGATTTTATTTATTTATTTGACAGAGATAGTGAGAGAGGGAACACAAGCACGGGGGAGCTAGAGAGGGAGAAGCAGGCTCCCCACGGAGCAGGGAGCCCAATGCGGGGCTGATTCTCAGGGTACTGGGATCATGACCCAAGCTGAAGGCAGACATTTAACAATGGAGCCACCCAGGCGCCCCTGGCCACACCTTCTTTATCCACTCACCAGTTGATAGGCAACCTACATAATGGGAGAAGATATTGCAAATTACATACCTGATAAAGTGTTAGTATCCAAAATATATAAAGAACTTATAAAACTCAACACCCAAAACCCAAATAATCCAACTAAAATATCAGCAAAAGACATGCATAGACATTTTTCCAAAGAGGATATACAGATGGCCAATAGATACATGAAAAGATGCTCATCATCACTGGTCATGAGGGACAAACAAGTCAAAACCACAATGAGATCATCACCTCACACCCATCAGAATGGCTAAAATCAACAACACAAGGAACAGCAGGTGTCAGTGAGGAAGCGGAGAAAGGGGAACCACCTTGCACTGCTGGTGGGAATGCAAGCTGGTGCAGCCGCCCTAGAGAACAGTATGGAGGGGCCTCAAAATGTTAAAAATAGAACTACCCTATGATATAGAATTGCACTGCTAGGTATTTACCCAAAGAATACAAAAATTCTAATGCAAAGGGATACGTGCACCCCAATGTTTATAGCAGCATTATCTACAAGAGCCAAAGTGTGTAAGCAGCCCAAGTGTCTCCTTGGTACCCCCTTATTGTACTTCTCAGCTATAACCACTGTCAGTGGTTTGCTTTGAGTTTTTCTGATGGTTACCATCATGACTAATACCCTTATCTTCCCTTATCTTGATTCTAGCCATGGACTGTATGTATGAACTTCCCACTGTTAAATATAATAGTGTACACATACCTCCTAATACTTTGCTTCTCTACCTTTCAATTTGTGTTACTATTTTTAGTTTTCCTAGTAGTTACCTTTATTTTTATATAACACATCTAAAAAACTTTTGATAGCAACTTAACGATAGTTTGCCACTGTTGAAAAATCTGGTGTTTAGCTGTATCTGTTCTTATTCCATCTCTCCATTTTGGTTAGTTAATGTTTCTACATTGTAGGGCTGCTGTGCGGCTCAGTTGGTTAAGCATCTGCCTTTGGCTCAGGTCATGATCCCAGAGTCCTGGGATCGAGCCCCGCATTGGGCTCCCTGGTCAGTGGGGAGCCTGCTTCTCCCTCTCTAGCTCCCCCGTGCTTGTGTTCCCTCTCGCTATCTCTGTCATAAATAAATAAAATCTTTAAAAAAAATTTCTACATTGTAGAGAGGGTTTTTGGACATGTAGGTTATGTTCTGTTATTTTCTGTGCTTTGTAGATTGATTCTGAAATTACATGACTATTTATGTCTAAACAGGGGTTGATTTGATAAATATAGTAGAATATGTAATTCTGTATTACAAAATTTTTGAAACTCAAAGTAAAAGTCTTTCAAGTATCATGAATCAATCTTTCATTTCCTGACAGCTTTCTTCATTTCTTCTGGATCCTACTCCACAGCAGACTACTTTCTCTTTTTCTTTTTTTAAGATTTATTTATTTGAAAGGGAGAGTGTGCGTGTGCATCAGGGGAGGGGCAGAGGGAGAGGACCCCAAGCAGACTCCGCTCTGAGCAGGGAGCCTGATGGGGGGCTCAATCTTACAACCCCGAGATCGTGACCTGAGCTGAAACCAAGAATCAGATGCTCAACTGACTGAGCCCCCAGGCGCCCCACACAGCAGACTGCTTCTTGTAACCCGTGTTGTTCTCCCTCTCATGCATGCGCTGTTTCTGTCTTGCTGCTATTCCTCTCTATCTTGATCTTGTTTTTCAGGAGTACATCTTTTGACAAAGTGTTTTCGTTAAGCATGGATGAAAACTTCCTGAGTTTTACATATCCTAAAAATGTCTTAATTTTGTCTTCTCACTTGATAGTTTGGTTGGGTAGAGGTTTGTAGATTGAAAGCCCATTCCGAATCTCAGATCTTTGAAAATATTTCTCCACTTTTAGTGTTGCTGTGAGAAATCTGATGTCATTGAGATTCTCATTTCTTTATCCATACTAGCTTTTTCTCTCTAAAAATACTTAAAATTTTATCTTTATCTTTAGATTTCTGAGGGTTCCTGGGATGCATCCAGATGTGGGCTTATTTCCATTTATGATGCATATCTGTGTGGGGGCCAGGTCACTATATATTCTTTTCCAAAGGATTTTTTTAACTTTGTTTTTTCTTTCTTATTTCCTTCCTTCCATCATTTGTTTTTCTCTTACGGAACTCATGTTAGACCATAGTCAAATACTTCTGTTGTCCTTGACTTGTAATTTTTATTTTACATTTTCAACTCTGCCTTTTTAAATTCTGTAATGTGGGGGAGTTCTATTCATGTAACTCTTGATTTCAGGGCTGTGAATTCAAGCCGTATGTGTGAGTGTGGAGCCTACTTAAAACCTAAAACAACAACAAAAAAGTCTTTTTTTTTTTTAATTATAAAAATTTTCAAACATACACAAAAGCAGAAAGAAGAATGAAGTCCCATGTTCCTGTCTCCTGCATTTCAGCAGTTACTAACATGTAACCATATTTTCCTACCCATTCCTTCCTCACTGAGTTATTTTAAAGCAAATCAGAGAGATCATATAATTTTATTCTTAACTACTACAGTATATATCTCTTAAAAAGTAATTTTTTTTACTGTTGATCGAAATTTTTTTTAATTTTATTTTTTTCAGTGTTCCAAGATTCATTGTTTATACACCATACCCAGTGTTCCATGCAATACCTGCCCTCCTTAATACCCACCACCAGGCTTACCCATCCCTCAGCCCTTCCAAAACCTTAAGTTTGTTTCTGAGTCCACAGTCTCTCATGGTTCATAATTTCTTTTAATTAAATGTAATACTCGTATCATACCACATAAAATGAACATTTGTTTGAATCACATATCATCAGTTCAGTAGGCTCAAATATTATTTTTTTTATTCCCAATATCTTTATCTTATCCTAAAATCACTCTTTTTTAATAGCCACTTTTATTTTTTTAAAGGTTGCAGGCTCTTTTTGAATTTCTTCTGAGAACTAAGATTCTTTTAAATATTTCTTCCTTTTTGCTGTTCATTTTCTATAAATTTCTGGTGATCCTTAATTGTTCATTCATTTTAATGAAAGACTATGTTGGATTTGGCCTGAATTTCCTTTGTCTTCTTGTGGGCCTCTCTCTGAGGAGCTGACAGTAGGTGCTACGATTTCATGACAGGTAGATTTTTAGTGTATGTAGGCTAGCATCAAGCAAGCACATTTTAACTGTTGTCAAAGTAAATAAGACTTCTAGCCTGTGAATATCCCAATGCTTTTGTGTGTGAATTTTCCTCCATTTCCTCCTATGTAGCTGTTTCGTGTCTAGAATTCTATCATGCTTGGCTCTTGAGACCTAGTGTCTGTAGTAGAAACTCTCTCATCACCAATGATCTCTTTCTAGAACTTGATAATGTTCAGAATCCATCCATTCTATCCAGCAGTATTCCTGTGGCATAAAGGCATAAGAGTATGGAAAAGAATACTTTTCTGATCATTTTAACAAAGTCATCTTCTGTATCTTATTTGACTAATAAGGAATTTGGCAATTGATTATTTTTATACAGCACCACAAAATCCTAACTTTATTATTAACCATTACCAGCATTATAAATACAGATGTAAAAATGACTTGGTAGTAGAGGTAAACATGGACTTTAAAGCAGGAGACCAAAAGTCTGTTGATTAAAAAAAGGTAGGCTCTGATAATGTTTGAATTACCTGGTCCAGCAGTTATAACTGGATGAAGTAACAACAAAACTAAAACCTTAACAGGGTCAAAAGGCTAATAAGATATTGACTAATAAAATACTCGGGAATTCTGGATCAAGAGTAGGGGGAGAACTTGAGCTTCAAAAACCAGTATGTGAAGGCCTTTCGCCATGAAGTGTTCTCTCATCAGCAAGAGGGGGCTGAGCAATCCAACAACAGTGCTTTTGGTGGAAGGAGGGCAAGCGTCAGAGTCTGGCATCTGCCAAGAGTGGGATTCTGTTTGAACCTCTCATGCCATAGCCCTAAAGGCTGTACCATGGAATATGGGTCTAGTTTGCACTGTCGCGTGGATGATCTAGAAAACCTCAAGCCTTTGTTCTGGCTTACCAGCACGCACAAGTGACTGGCAGAAGCAAACAGAAATCCATGGAACAAGATAAACACTATCCTTTTCTTCAGGTTACTTTCACAAATTTTGAAATACACCTCCAGTTAAAAAATTAAAGATAAAGACACATGTACAGAGACAAGACAGCAGAAGCCAAAAGTATCAGAAACAACAGGAAAACTGGAATTCTGGCTATCAAACAGGTGCTGTGAAACAAATATGCTTGTTGTGTTTATGGAGATAAAAGCCAAGCTTGGAAGATTCGGCCAAGTAACACTAAATTGTAGAATTGAAAAATAAAATAAATTTAAGAATTCAGTGAATGAGGCTTATGGCAGATTAGACTAAAGAGAATTAAACCGTAAAGTCAGAAGAAATGATCGAGAGACCAAAAAAAAGAAAAATATAGAAAAACTGCTATATACCTTTAATTGATATACTTTATTGTATGGTCCCAGAAGATGAACATGAGAATGAAGCAGAGGCAATATTTGTGTCTCGATGGCTGAGAAAGTCTTAGAACCTGATGAATGAAGTCAGTACACAATATTGACACGAAACCAGTGAAACCTGTGTGGGATAAATAAAAGGCCACATCTAGGAACATTGTTGTGAGGCTTCAGCAAACAATAACAAAGAGAAGACTATGAATGCAGCCAGAGCAAAAGGATTTCCTTGAAAGGAGCAACTATAATAGTTTATCAGTTAAGCAGATTGAAACTATTAAAGGGACATGCATTGTCTGGCAGGAGAGAACATTAGAGATTGCCATGAAGTTTTCATGGGGTACAGGTTATATATTTTAGGATAATCATTAGAAGGCTAGAAGAACTTCCCAACTATGGTTAGAGACTGTTAAGGGAGGAAATGAAATGATTAAAAAAAAAAAAATTTGACAGTCAAGAATGAAGAGGAAAGGAAGGAACATGGAATAGACAAGACAAATATAAGAGGACAATAGATTTTGCTCCAATCATTTAAGCAACTGTATTAACTATAGATGGAACAAATAAATGCTCTACTTTCTGAAATATATCTATTATCTAGAGGCTAGATTAAAATAAGGAATCTATTAACCATCTGTTTTTCTTCTCATCCTTGATTAATTGGATAACTATAGTGCCCCACTCTGACCAAAGACTATTGTAATACTCTTTGAATATTGTAAAACAGAATTTCTAGACTGGAAGACACCAGAGAGAGTTGGGGAAGGAGGTGTCAGAAAGTAGGTTGATTGAAAGCCAAGTCACCACAGTGATGCTCAGAGTGGGTAAGCCCCATCCTCGTCCTCATGGCTACCAATCATTCTTTTAGTTCCTAACCCTTACATATGAAAAACACTCAAATGTTACTCGTCAACTAAGGAAATTTCTTATATAAACAATGTATCTCATAAGAGACTAAAATAGACAGGAAATAAAAAAGCTGTTTAGGAAGAAGCAGGGATTGATTCGGTGGGGAGAAGGAAAGTTTAAAAATTATCAATAACCACATGGAGACGAAAATAATATGTTCCAGAAACAGGAGAGAATTTTTTTTTTAAATTAGAAAACAAAAATGAGCTCTTGAAAAGTTTGATAGCAGAAGGATTATTTAAAAAAAAAAAAAAAAAAGCTGAGGAAATCACCTAAAAAACAAGCAGAGAACAAGGGATGGAAAACAAAAGAAGAAAATTAGAAGACTAGTCCAGAAAGTACAATATCAGAAAAAAGAACTGGAGAGAGAGAGAACAGGTAAGTGGAAGGAAGAATATTATCGAAGATTTCATGAACATTTCCCCAAACTGAAAGACCCAAGTTTCTAGATAGGAAGGGGCTCCCACTGAGTGCCGTATGTGATATGTGAAAGTCATGCACCTCAAAGCCCATCACTGGGAAACTGCAGAACATTTGGGATGAGAAAGGTTCCTAATACTTCCAGAAATGCAGTAAAAAGATAATCACCAAAAAGGATCTGGAATCGAATTGGCACTGGTTTCTCACCAACAGTTCGGGCAGTTAAAAGGTATTGAAGTCATGACTCACGATTCTGAAGGGAAATTATTTCCAAACTAGAATTCTAAACCCAAACAATCAAAAATAAGTGGACAGTGGTTTAAAAAAAAAAATGGGGGGGGGCATCTTTGGAAAACTGCAGGAAAACATGTCTGACCAAAAAGAGGGAGTAACAAAAAACTAGGAAGAAGTGGGATTTAGGAAGTGAACTCAGAAAGAAAGAAAGGGAATCCCTATGAACATAAGGGATTTTGCAGGATGACTGCTCCAGATCCGGGATGGAGAGCAGAATCTGGGCTGGAAAGCAGATGGTCGCAGCAGCAGAGGATTCTTCTAGAGGATGAAGGAAGAGAGTACATGAGGTGACTGAGTTACTGGATGATTCAGGCAAACGAATGACTGTTTCAGTGTGAAATAATTTTAAGTACTGAAAAAGTAAAATAAGGAGAATAGGATAGTGACTTCAGGGAAAACCAAAAGTTTTGCAGAAGAGGAGAAATAATCACGACACGGTGTTAATAATGGCTCTGCTGGAAGTAACACTCATGAAATCGTAATAATATAAACGTTGACTGCTGATTGATTCAGCCAAAATGGTGCCCTAACCATACCGGCAAAAGGGACAAGGCTGGAAATGGGAAAGAAAGCCAAGTACTTAATTCCTATAGGAAGGAGTGGGTGATATTTAAAACTCAGAAGTCAATCAGGAGAAATACAAGCAAGCTGTTTGAGAGAAAGAAATATAAAAATAATCAGCTAAAAGAATTGAAAGTAGCTGCCTTTATAGGGCAAGAAGTGGCAGGGTTAGAGGTGGGCTGGGAATTGATGTTTTTTATAACAAGTGTTGATAAATTATATGCATTGTTATTTTGCTAATTGTAAAAAACTAAATTGAGAAAAGCCATTTGATATTTCTCAAGTTATTCTAGGAGGTAAAAATTCTAACAGTTAACAAAGATCATTTGATTTTAACTCTCAGGTTTCTGTTTTCTCTTGGCTGCTAATTTGGGGGGGGGGTGGCCATCTGGGGCTAGCGGTCACCATTAACTTGCTTCAAGTCTGGAATTTGTTTGGTTCCTTTCATAATTTGAAAAGTGACCTTACTAAATAAACTATTTAAAATGTTTTGTAGGCGTGGCTTTAGCTGTTATTCTCTGTAACACCCGGCATATCAGTGATCATGTTTTCCTAGAAGCTGCAAAGGTAAATGTTTTAAATATTGTTTGGCTCTTTTATTAGGATGAATTATAAAGATGAATGGATCTTAATTAAAAGCAGAGTTAAATCTGCCTTATGAATGGAAAGGAAGTTATTCATCTGTTGCTTTTTTGATTTGGCTCTCTACTTTTGCATGAGATTAATTTTATATCATGATTTTTCGAATGTTTGAATGTTAAGCTATGAATCCTTTCATATTTATAACAGATACTGTACCTGTTGTGTATCTGTATCTGAAGGTACTATATTGTGACGGCATAGATAAAATGTAACACCTTCATTTTTTAATGGACAAATACTGGTTTATTTGGAGTGTGCTGGCCTGTTAGAGTGCCAAACTGTAATATGAATTTTGAAGAACTCACATTAATACAGATTTTCATGCTTATTTTCATAGTAACTAATGTAATTATGCCACGCTTTGTATGTGTTAAGTAGAATATGTCAATAAACCTTTCAATCTGGTTATTTCTTATTTAGTGGTGAACAGTTTTAATCTCTGCGGTGCATATTCCTGCTAAAAATAAGGAGAATTATCTTACCTATATTATTTTCTGCTCCCCAAACCCCTTTTCCATTTTATTAGGTCCTTATTCTGTGTTACTTAAACAAAAATAAAATGCTGTTTTTCTCTTCAGGCTCTGACAAATCAGCTGACAGATAAAGAGCTAGCTCAAGGGAGACTTTACCCACCACTTGCTGACATTCAGGAAGTTTCTATTAACATTGCTATTAAAGTAAGTATTAATGTATACCTAAATTTACATAAATTTTAATGATATACATAAATTTTAATGATGTTTTCTTTTTTTTTAAGATTTTATTTATTTATTTGACAGAGAGAGATCTCAAGTAGGTAGAGAGGCAGGCAGAGAGAGAGGAAGGGAAGCAGGCTCCCTGCTGAGCAGAGAGCCCGACGTGTAGGGCTCAATCCCAGGACCCTGGGACCACGACCTGAGCTGAGGGCAGAGGCTTTAACCCACTGAGCCACCCAGGTGCCCCTTAATGATGTTTTCTTAAGTAGCACAAGTTTATTAGAGAAAAGTTTGAAACATTTCAAGGGTGCAAAGAAGAAATTTTAAATCACACATTTTCTTACTACCAGAATATAACCCACGTTATATTTTTTTAAAGATTTATTTATTTATTTGAGAGAGAAAGAGAGCAGGGGGAGGGAGAGAATCTCAGGCAGACTCCCCTGCTGAGCAGGGAGCCTGATGTAGGGCTAGATCCCAGGACTCTGAGATCATGACCTGAGCGAAAGGCAGAGGCTTAACCCATTGAGCCACCCAGGTGCCCCTGGGGACACCCATGTACCTTTGAAATTACTGTGGTATGGGGGTACCTGGCTGGCTCAGTCAGAGAGTACAATTTGATATGGGAGTTATGAGTTGGGTGTAAAGATTACTCAAAAGTAAAATCTTACATAATAATTATTATGGTATATATAATGTATATTATTTGATACTATGTTTCCCATTACAATGGTTTTTCAGTATTTTCTTATCTGTTCAAACTGTGCATTGTTTTGGATGAATTTTTCTATCAATTTTTTGAATTCAAAGAAAACCCTGCATCTATGAATGAAACTATCAGACTTATAAATTAAATTAATGAAAATGAGTCTTTGGTACTGGCTCTTCCCTTCCTATCAGTACCTCTTCCCACTCAGCTGTTTTTTTCCTTCAGTCTTTCAATATAATTTTTTTGTTTTCTTCTTTAGACATGGTATGTTACTTATACTTATTTTCCTAGATTTTAAAATTTTTTGTTCTTTTTAATAAGTAAAGATTTTTCTTTCCATATCCTCACTTGTCATTTCTGGCATATAGGGAAGGTATTAATTTTTATGAATTTACTTGATAACTAGTTTGTTGAGCAACCTTAACTCTTTAAATTAACTCTTTTTGAATTTTGAGTTTTGAATCATTTGTAAGTAATTTTTTTCTTCATTTTTTATGTATTACTTTTTTTCCCCATTAAGACCAGTTTTAAGCAACTTAGTAGATAAGGGCATCCTTGTATTTTAATACTAAATGTGATACTAGCTTTTGGCTGAAATAAATATTCTTTTATCTTTCTAAAGAATTAATCTTCATCCCTAGTTTACTAAGATTTTTCTAGTAAACACCAGGATTAGAAGTAGAATTTATGAATAATATTTTCGGTTATATACTGATGATTGTAAAATTTTTACTCCTCTGACTATAAATGTTATTGTTGGATTATTTTAACACTCATAAACTAAATAAAGATTGGAAATTAGAGGGTGATATGTTTAAGAAATAACAGCGGGGCACCTGGGTGGCTCAGTGGGTTAAAGCCTCTACCTTCGGCTCAGGTCATGGTCCCAGGGTCCTGGGATCGAGCCCTGCATCAGGCTCCCTGCTCAGCGGGGAGCCTGCTTCCTCCTCTCTCTCTCTCTCTCTGCCTGCTTCTCTGCCTACTTGTAATCTGTCTGTCAAACAGATAAATAAAAAAAAAAAAAAAAAAAAGAAAGAAATAACAGCCAGAGGTGCCTACATGGCTCAGTCATTTGAGCATCCAAGACTCTTAATTTCAGCTCAAGTCATGAGATCAAGCCCCACATCAGACTCCACACTTGGTGGGGAGTCTGCTTGAGATCTCTCCCTCTGTCCCTCCCCCCACGCATGCACACTCTCACGTGCTCTCTCTCACTCACATAAATAATCTTTAAAAATATTCTTTAAAAAAAAATAAATAACAGCCAATCCAGGGGCACCTGCCTGGCTCAGTCAATGGAGGATGTGACGACTCTTCTTGGAGTTAGGAGTTCGAGCCCCATGATGAGTGCAGAGATTACTTTAGTTTTAAGTTTTGGCTTCAAAGTTGGTTTTGTTGTTGTTTTTTTTTAAGATTTTATTTATTTATTTGACAGAGAGAGAAACTGAGAGAGCAGAAAACATGAGCAGGGGGAGGGGGAGAGGGAGCAGGGAGCCTGATGATGTGGGGCTCGATTCCAGGACCCTGGGAGCCGAAGGCAGGCACTTAATGACCGAGCCACCCAGGTGCCCCAAAGTTGGTTTTTCAATTATGGGCTATACTCTAAGCTATTAAACGTAAATGGATTCCTCCTTGTGCATGGTTGGTGGGAATATAAATTAGTGTAGCCATTATGGAAAGCTGTATGGCTGTTCCTCAAAACCCAAAATTTAGAACTACCACATAATCCAGTAATCCCATTTCTGGGTATATATCCAAAAGAAATTAAATCATGATCTTGAAGAGCACTCCCATGTTCACTGCAGCATTATTCACAATAGCCAAGACACAGAAACAAATTAAGTGTCTGTCAACACTCAGTGTGGCATATATACACAAATACATGTACACACACACACACACACACACACACGGATATTATGCAGCCTTAAAAAAGAAGGAAATCCTGCCACTTGTACAAGGATGAACGTGGAAGACTAAATGAAATAAATCAGTCAGAGAAAGACAAATACTGTCTGATCTCACTTATAACTGGAATCTAAAAAAGAAACTCAAAAATAAAACAGTAGAATGGTGGTTGCCAGGGGGCTAGAGGAAAAGGGGAAATGCTGATCAAAGGGTGCAAACTTTCTATAATAAGTTGTTTAAGTTCTAGAAATCTCAATGTACAGCATGGTTTAATGAAATTTGCTGAAAGAGTAGATCTTAAATATTCTTGCCACACACACAAGAAGTAAGTATGTGCAGTGATGAAGAGGCCAGTTGGCTTGGTTGGGGGAATTATTTCACAGTGCACACATACATCAGAACATCTCATTGTATTCCGTAAATACAGGATTATTTGTCAATCCTATCTCAGTAAAGTTGAAAAAAAATAAAAATAAAATAACATCTTAAAAAATAAATAACAGCCAGTCCACTTGAGCTGGAATCTAAAGTATAGGTAGGAAAATGGCACAAGAGAGGATTTGCAAGTTTTCTTGAGGCCAGCTTATCCGGATACACATATGCCAGGCTAAGGAGTCTCAATACCTTACTGTTGCAAAACAGCCGAAGATTTTAGAGCCCAGAACTAGGATGAACAGCACTCGGTTTTGGAATTTATAGAATGATACTATATTTGGGACATATTTTGGAACATATCAGTCAGTTAGATTACCAGTGTGTCAAGCTGAAAGGTTATATGAAAGAGAGACTTGGGGGTGCCTTGGTGGCTCAGTGGGGTAAGCCTCTGCCTTCAGTTCAGGTCATGATCCCAGGGTCCTGGGATCGAGCCCCACATCGGGCTCTCTGCTCAGCAGGGAGCCTGCTTCCTCCTCTCTCTCTCTCTCTCTCTCTCTCTGCCTGCCTTTCAGCCTACTTGTGATCTCTGTCCGACAAATGAATAAATAAAAAAATTTTAAAAAGAAGAGAGAGAGAGACCTGTGCTTATGGGCTGGTACAGGAGCGTAGCCCCAGGTTGATGCCTCTTCTCCCTTCCCCAGGGTAGAGAATTTGCTCCTTCATTGTCTTAAGACTTGCCTTTTTAAGAGCAAGGGATCAGGAGACTAGCAGTGCTTTGTTTCTGTCCCTCACCCCATCCCGCAGCCAGTGAGCATCTCCGATCTCTCTTGCTTTGCCTCAGCCTTTTCTGTGGGTACAAATATGTTTCTTATAATAGGCTAGAAAATAATTGAAATACATGTTCATCACAAAATACAGTAAGGTTGAGCCCCTGGAACGGAGTGTTATTTTTAATAACCTTCATTTCTTTGTTAAATTTTTTTCTTAGAAAGCTGAAATAAACTTGAAGAGTGGTCACCGTTTAAATGGGAATTGGAGTAGGAGGAGAAAGACAAAACTGAAATTTTTTAATCATGTGTTACAATATTTTTTTAAGTTAAAATGAAACCATAACTTGAGAATTTACTATATAATAAGCACTGTGCTATCCTGTGAGGAAGCTTTTCCTATTACCTCATTTCACATCAAAACTCAGAGAGGGTGGGGCGCCTGGGTGGCTCAGTGGGTTAAGGCCTCTGCCTTCAGCTCAGGTCATGATCCCAGGGTCCTGGGATCGAGCCCCGCATCGGGCTCTCTGCTTAGCAGGGAGCCTGCTTCCCCCCTCTCTCTCTGCCTGCCTCTCTGCCTACTTGTGATCTCTCTCTGTCAGATAAATAAATAAAATCTTTAAAAAAAAAAAACAAAACTCAGAGAGGGTTTATCCTCATCACCAGTCATGGTGTGTGGCTTGGTTACAAATATCAGAAATCCATTCGAGCCAAATGAGGTGGGAAGTAATCTGGCTTCACTGTGTAGGGCCTGGGATCTGTAGTCTGAATGCTTTAGGTTTGAGACACAGCTCTCACTTAACTACCTTGGGCAAGTTACTTACTTGTAACTTGTTACTTATTATTATTACTTACTTACTCCTCATACTTTAGTGTCCTCATATGTAAAATGAGGATAATACTATCAGTACTTAACCTTATAGGATTGTTTTGAGGATTAAATGAGCTGTACATGTAAAGCACATGCAACATGCCTGGCACTCCATGATGGTGGTGGTGAGTTGCCATGTGTAGGTCCCAGCCCTCACTTTACTTGACCTTATAGTTCTAGTGTCCAACACCTGATTTATAATAATCTCTGTGTCTCTTAATCTGAATTCTAGAGCACAGACACCTGGCTCACATTAGGTTAGGTTTTCGCCCCAGTCCAGTCAGCTGTGGATAGGACATAGACTCTCTTACCTGCTGTTTGAAAGTGGGGGAAGGACAGGGGCTAGGTGGGTCACCCAAGTAGGGCTGCCTGACTGACACAAAACAGAGCTTAAAATTGTTTGTTAGCTTGAAGTATTAAGGAAATGCCAATAATGGGGGGGGTGTAACTTTAAAACACATCAAATTTACATTGAGATGGCAGATTATTTTTATTTCATCTTTCAAGTTTTTAATAGCTTCCAAATGTTTTGAAATGAGTCAAAGTAATGTTATTTTTTTTATTTTAAAAAAAGAAAAATGTCATACTTTCATTTGACTGTGTTTTAATAGTACTTTTTCTCTCCGGTTCCTATCAGAGTCTACATAGCAATCTTATTTATTTTGCAGGTCACAGAATACCTGTACGCGAACAAAATGGCCTTCCGATACCCAGAACCTGAAGACAAGGCCAAATACATTAGAGAAAGAATCTGGCGAAGTGAATATGATTCCCTGCTCCCGGATGTCTATGACTGGCCAGAATCCCCACTAAGCCCTCCCTTGATAACGGAAGAGAAGCACACCCACTGAAAAATGCTTTCCATGCTTCAGGGAACCCCCCTTATTTTATTTTTTTCCAGAGAAAAAGAGAATCTCAAATTTATGGTTTTTTTCCTGTTTTATTCTCCCCCACTGCTTTGCTTGACTTTTTTTTTTTTTTTTCATGAATCTGTACTTCCTTAGAGGATCAACATGTTGGCTGCATTGTGAATGCCCACCAGCGCCCTGCAATCAAATAACCATGATGCTTTTCTTCTGATTCGTAGCTCATAGCACATCGAAGAGATGTCACAGATGTATTTGTAAATGTCTTCACTTGTGCTATTGTTCATGCTTGTCAAAGTATTTGCTATTTACTATTACAGTAATGATCTTCTCTTCCCAGCTCTTTTAGGGCTACTAAGAAATTTACTTCTGTGGATACGAGTATAGAGTTTTAAGAAGCCAAATTTAACCAGATTATAAGGACAAACTGTCAGTGTCTAAAAGTTCTTTTATTTCAGCCCTATTTTATCTTCATGCTCTGAAATTCCTTTCCAGCTGATATATCTAGAGAAATGTGAAAAATCTACCCTGTTATTTATTTTCTGGACCTAAATTGAGGCCCAACTATAACATCAGGAGAGAGAAATGGGAAGTACCGCTGTCTTTAGAGAGATAAACAAAATAGTCATTGTTTTCAACAGTGTATAAAAATCATAGTGTAACTTTTTTATTTAATAAAGGTATTGTCTTAAATTTAATTGCTTCAATTAATGTGATTTTATTGCCCAACTAGATATTTAGGTTTGCTTATTATGAAAAACACCTATTTTCATTTTACTTATTTCTAGATGATTCAAAGGAGGGGATATAATGCATAAATTATAACTGACATCATGTGACTTTTAACCAATGAGTCCTGTTGCACATTTGAATGAAGCATATTTAACTGGAGATGCTATACCCCTTATTCCAATAGTGGTGCTCTTTATTGTTTGGATAATTTTGGAATATCTTTATTCCTTTGAATACCATTAGTGACAACTCTTCCCACTGAAGATGGATTAATTTTTTGAAACCACCAAAATTAATTTAGAACTAAGGGGGATGAATGAGGTAGGTGTACAGACCAAGAAATGCCATTTTTAATACCAGTAAAATGGGTAACAATTGGCGAGTAAGACCAGTTTTCTTATTTGGCTTGTGGATTGGAGGGTTCTAAAGGAAAACGCAAAAGCCTTTGGAGAGTTAGTAGTATTACTTTTTATGTGCCTAACATAATTGCTTTGAAGGAACAAAAACTTATTTTAAGCGCTCCTTCTAGAAGATCAACTACAAAAAGTTATTCTTAGCTACATGTAAGGGTGTACATTATTTGGTATTTCCACAGTCCTTGATATGTTAGATGTGATATTCTATAGGGGGAAAAGGGCATCATTTGTATGTTCATATGTCCTATGTATAGGTAGAGATTGATTCATACTAATTTTGGATATAATTTAACATTTTAAGAATGCTTGAAATGGCACTGCCATTTGGAGCATTTTAAAATGCAGTTGATTAATCCATTGAACAGATGAGTAAAGTCAGAAGTCTGTTGTATAAACCTGTTGTATAATATAAGCAATTGGGTCACTATTTGTTTCTTTTAATTAAGAGTGAAAGTTTTATGTTTTTCATGTTACCTTTGTCAAAACAAAAATTGCCCCCAAAAATACTCTCTTGATTTTAGTTTAACATTACAAGTATAATAATTACAAATCCTGTTTTTTGCTTAGTGCTTACTGAAGGCAGGATCACATGCTGAATTAATGTAATTTTACTAAGATGTTTGCTTAGTAAATATGCCTAGTACAGTCTTCATGGAAATTATATTTTAAAGAAAGAAACAAAGCCAACTGACATCTAGCCTGCTTATTTATATAACCCGTAATGTACTGGTTGGTAAATAACACATGAGAATAGGTGGTTTTAATGAGCACATATTTATCTGGAGAAGTAAGATATATTTACACATACTATATGAGATATATAATAAATGTATTAGAATATATATATAATGTGTATTTATTAAAATCCACCTGCTCTCATGTGCTATTTACCAACCAGTATTTCACCAAACAAGAAACGACTGTTGGATGTAAATTGAAAAAAAAAAAACAAATTGGGAATACAGGCAGGAGCTACCAGCATGGTGGGAAGAGGTTGGTGGCATGACGGTATCAGATTGGAAAAGAAACATTCAGATCTTCTATGGAAATTTTACCGAGCAAGAAGGTAATTATTTTTAAAGACAGGAATGGAGAGTCATTTTCATTCTTTTGAATGGGGAAGAAAATTGTAGGTTTAGGCTTAGTAGGGAGAAATGAGAACACATGTTCTAAACTGGCACCAGCACCCATGGTGTGAAAGAAACTGGGTGAATTGTGGGATAAGGTTTATTGACTTTAACATGGCAAACATGTTAAAGATTTTGGTTAAAATCTTTTTAAAGGATGGTTTCTTAACCGGGAAGTTGCTTCAGAATCCCCCTGACGCTTCTTTAACATGCATATGCCTCTATCACCTCCTTCCAGGCCCCTTGGACCACCATGGGCAGAGCGCTGGCAGCTGAATTTTCAGCAGGTTCCCAGGGGATTCTGACGCACACTTCCCCTGCCTCTCACTGGCTGCCCTAAAGTGGATATCCGAATCACCTGGAGAGCTGATTACTCCTCTGGAGGGCAGTGGGTCTGGGGTAGGGCCCGAGAGTCTGTATTTCTTACCCGCTCCTGGGTGATGCGCAGGTAGCTTGCACAGAGAAGTCATCGAGGACTGAGCGTGGTGTGCAGTTTGTTTAGTGCTCATATAGTATGTACTTTAATATGAAAAAGATAACTGAAAGTATCTTCTTACATGGAACTGGTTTCATCTGTCTTTGTTATGTCTGGTTTTTATGGGATGTTCATAGGCACAAAAATACAGAGCTTTTAAACAGATTTCTCTGAAAATATGTAACTAGAATACTGTTCAATTCTCAAGTATTGTTTTTAAATTCACATATTAGTAAAACCTAGCAACCAGTTTTCATTTTTGAAAAGGTTAGCTATCAAATGGATACTTGTTCTTCTCTATTGGTTGTCTTTTAATATGACTTACCCTATCTTTTCTCTTTTCTTTCTCTAAAATTACCAGCTCCTGGAGAAAGAAGACTCTACATTCTCCTTTGCAAAGGAGTTGCTAATAAATTAAGATGAAAGCATAATTATTAAGGGGTGTGGAGCATTATTTACTGCTTGCTCTCAGATAACTGAGAGCCCATGGGGTGAGGGGAGTGGGAAAGCTTTGCCTTCATCAGATGTTCTGTAGCTTTTTTCCCCAAGCCCATTCAGTGTCCTTCAAAGAGAAATTTATATTCTTGAACAGTTCCAGGATTCTATTGGATTCACCAAAATGGAATCAGCTCTGCTGAGCCTAAATAACACTTGAGAACATTAGTGTAAATATCAAAGCTCTCTACTGGGATTTCCTTTACAGGAACTACCGTAAAAAATGAAATAGCACCAATGTCATATGTCCGCTCAAAATAAGACCACACATGTTCAGGTGCAGGCATATTGCTGACTTTATAGAAAACACAGATTCATTATCTATTTTGGTTCTCAACTGATGTGTGATTTGCACTTTAATGTGCATCTAAATGTTAAAATGAAATAAATTCTCTACAGCCAAGCTGAATGAAATAACATTTAATATTTAAAATATTCAAGATAATTTAACTACAGACAACTTCCCCCAATCTGAAATGAGGATGTTTTAATATTAGCAGAGAAAAAGCTCAACGCTTTGCTTCAAATTTGAATAAATTCAACAGGGCCTATTTAGGACAAGACACTTACTTATTGCATAATTATTGCCAGGAACTTCTCTGGTAAACTGGTGATTAGATTTTAAAATAATAATTTCCCCCCTTTCTTGGAAAAGTAAAATTGTGTCTCTCAAAGAGAAAAGTAACATATGCTATAATATGGAAATATGTTCATAGTTTAGTTGTGTACAATATACAAATTAAGTCAGATGACTTTGGATGGTTTGTATATGTAACTGGTTTTTACCAATAAACACTTTTTTGTATGACTATTTAATCTTGTTTTGTTTTTTTTTTCCCCAAATAAAAGCTTATTTGCCACTTCTGTGGGAAGTCATCCTTACTTCAGAACACTTTTTAAAGTTTTATGACTAGGGAAAATTTGTGGATATCTGTTCCCCAGTTTTCAGTATGTCCTTTTATGTCCTAGAAAAATTATTTTCCCTCTCCTAATTTTAAGTGTATATTCTAGTAAATGGATTCCTGGAGAGTCACTGAATGGTCACTAATATACTAGGTATGTACAGTTAGCAAATGATGCTGAAGTAAACTTTATAGACAAGCACCAGGCCTTGTTCTAAGCACCTCTTATGCATCAGCATAATTAATTCTCGGATCCCCTGCTGTCACTACACCTGTTTTACAGAGAAGACCACAGGCACAGGGAGGTTAAGTGCCTTGCCCAAGATCTTAGCTGGTGAGAAGCAAAGCCAGTGTTCTTAACCTTAGCCCCTCTCAAGGAAGAAGGGCCTCGGTGACAGGTGATTTTACTTGGATCTTAAATAAAGAATTGTTATTTCAGATGAAAAGTCTTCAACTATTCTTACAAGATAAGGCTTGGGTCCTTTTTAATGTGTTTTAGCAGTTTATTTGATTTTTTTACTTTGTTCCCATTTGTAATTCAAATAGAATATAAATGTATTTTATTCCTTAGTCTTCAGCATTTTAAGTACTGGATGTAAACATAAAAGACTTGGTTTTGAATTTGGTAAATTACACCAAAGATTCTTTTTTTTTTTTTTTTTAAGATTTTATTTATTTATTTATTTGACAGACAGAGATCACAAGTAGGCAGAGAGGCAGATAGATAGAGAGGGAGGTGGAAGCAGGCTCCCTGCAGAGCAGAGATCCCGATGTGGGGCTCGATCCTAGGACACCGGGACCATGACCTGAGCCGAAGGCAGAGGCTTTAACCCACTGAGCCACCCAGGTGCCCCTACACCAAAGATTCTTTTTTTTTTTTTTTTAAAGATTTTATTTATTCATTTGACAGACAAAGATCACAAGTAGGCAGAGAGGCAGGCAGAGAGAGAGGGAGGAAGCAGGCTCCCTGCCGAGCAGAGAGCCCGATGCGGGGCTCGATCCCAGGACCCTGAGACCATGACCTGAGCCGAAGGCAGAGGCTTAACCCACTGAGCCACCCAGGCGCCCCCACCAAAGATTCTTAATAGCCAGCTGCCTAACATCTTTAGATTTGGTAATCTTTCCAGAACTACCAACTGCTATCACTTCTATCCAAACCAGTTTCAATAATGCTTGTATACTTTGTGACTCTGCCAATGTCAATGTGAATTGTAAGATTCTTGATACAATGATATTCTGATACAATGATAGCTTTTTTATTGTATGCATACATATAACTTCTTCCATTAAAAAGTAGAAGAGCTGGGGTGCCTGGCTGGCTTGCTGGTAAAGCATGCAATTCTTGATCTCAAATTGTGAGTTCAAGTCCCAAGTTGGGTCTGGAGCTTATTTAAAAAAAAAAGAGAGAGAGATAGAACAGTTAAAGAGAAATACAAGATGTATATGTGGAATAAGGAATTTCTGAGACCTATTTTAGCTAACTATTTGACAAACATTTTTGCTTAATGTTTTATTATACTTTGTCTAATGACCTTTAAAAAAAAAAGATTTTATTTGACAGTGAGCACAAGCAGGGGGAACATCAGGAAGAGGGAAAGGGGGAAGCAGGCTCACCGCTGAGCAGGAAGCCTGATGCAGTGCACGATCCCAGGACCCTGAGATCATGACCTGAGTCAAAGGCAGACACTTAACCAACTGAGCCACCCAGGCACTCCTGCCTAATGACCTTTAAAATTAACTGAAATTAAAACCATATTTTTGCAATGAATAGTGTTCCTTTTGATAATATCCCAGCAATAATTATTAACTTCGAGGAAACCACACATTGCAAAATCACTGCTTAGTCTTTCTCACCTGTGCATTTAAGATTAAAGGATGGAATAAACAGACTTGTGATAATTGCTTATGGGAATGCCAGTATAAGGGGAAGTGCCTTGCATAGAGTGTATTATAGTAGATCAACTTACCATAGATAGTTCCAGGAATCCGTCTAAATGCTCCATAATGGGGGCGCCTGGGTGGCTCAGTGGGTTAAGCCGCTGCCTTCGGCTCAGGTCATGATCTCAGGGTCCTGGGATCGAGCCCCGCATCGGGCTCTCTGCTCAGCAGGGAGCCTGCTTCCTCCTCTCTCTCTACCTGCTCTCTGCCTGCTTGTGATCTCTCTCTGTCAAATAAATAAATAAAATCTTTAAAAAAAAAATGCTCCATAATGATGTGAATTGTTTTTTCTCTTGTGATACATAAATTGTAATGAGATGTGTATATTTTCTTAGTAAAATTCCCCATGCATATAAAAATGTGTTATGACCTTGTTTTTAGAGGCTGCTGTATAAAGGGCACTTTTAAAATTCAGTATTATCTCAATCCTTAAAACAGCCTGGCCCCCAGCCCCCACCCAGAGCACCTGCTCCCTTGGAAGTGCTCTGTGGTTAGACTGAGAAACACCGTGGAGCACTACTCGTGCTCCCCATCTTTTCCTTTCCTTTTGTTCAGCTTCCTACTTTATTTCTCTTCTCATTTAGTTTAATCCTAGCAGTAAAGGAACTATTCCTCACCTCTTCTCACCACATACACATTCCACCCGAATGCTAGAACACTAAGTCAGGAAAGACTGTATGTTGAGTTTGTGGTAAAGGGACAAAACGGTACAACAGCTAATACCTACTGAGTGCTTGCTTCAAGCCAGGCTCTGTTCTAAGGCCCTGAGATCTATTTGCTCATTTCTCATTTCACCTTCCCAACGACTTTCTAAGGTGTACGTGCTAACATTTCCCCCGTTCTGCAGACTGTGAGGTGCAGAGCCCTTAAAGTCATGAAACTACCCAAACC